AAGTAAGTAAAGGGTTTCTACTGTAATTATTAATAGGTAGAGAAAAATAATAGACTATTACCTTGTTAAGATAGTCCCTGTGTTATATTATATAGAAGAAGTAGTAAATCTTGTATAGATTAAGTCTACTATAGTAATACTAAGGTTTACTGCTCTTACTAATGTAACTTTTGCACTTATTTATTAAGTTAGGCCTATATTATTACTAGTTATTACTTAAGGTTTATAAATATTACTAGGCTTTATTTAGTTATATAGGTAATAGGTTACTATTACTGTTTTTACTTATACTACTCTAGGCTAATATAACTATATTAGATATTATTTAGGAAGCTATTATATATTTTAATAAGCCTATTAAATATTACTAACTTATACTATACCTTCTTAACTTCTTTATTTGTCTAAATATAAAACTTATTATTATTAATAACAGTAATAAGGTATAAGGTAATTTGTTAATAGTCTTTAGGTATATAGACGCCTTAATTAAGAAGGAAGTTATAAAAAATTAATAGTAGTGTTTTACTAGTAGCGCTAAAGAGGGCTTTATCCTATCTATTAAAGTAATATTAAAAGTCCCTCTAGAGCTTATAACCTATAAGGGCATATTTAGCCTATTTAGCTATATAATAGGTAAAGTAGAAGTAAATAGTAAGAAGGTCTTACTTATTAAGAAGGATTTCTTAGCTATACTTTTTATAGTTAATATATTTTACTATAGAGGTAAGTACCTTAGGGTATAAAGTACTACTAGATTAACTTATTATAAGGTTAGTTATTAAAGTTAATTAGTAGTAATTACTATATAACTTTTATAGTAGTAATTAAGTAGTAAGTTTTCTTTTTAATATAACTTATACTTATAAGTCTAGATAGTGCTAGGTTAGTTTTATATATATAAGGTAGATAAGGATAGTTTTCTAAAGGGGTAAATATAAAGATAAAGAGGAAAGTTAAATAAGGTAGTAATTATTACTACTTAAGTGTCTCTTCTTAATAGCGCTATAGTTAGCGTAGAAGAGATTCTTGCTTATTAAAGGGGTTCTAATAGTGTAATAGACACTATAGTGTTTCTTATAGAGGTAAGGTAGCCTTAATAGTACTTAACTTAGTTAGTAGTCTACTAGGTTATAGTAGGCTAAGTAAACTCCTATAATAGTAAGCCTTGTTAATTACTAGTTATTAGTAATAATTAACTATTAATTAATGTTAGTTTTTACTAGCTAATTAATAGGATCCTATATCTTGTAATATTACAAAGGTTAAGAAAAGGTAGTTAAATTTATAGTTATTAATAGTTAACTAGTTAACAAGGTAAAGTAGGAGCATAAGTGTAGTAGTACCCTTGCGTATAGGCAAGGGTAGGGGATTCTGCCAGTAGGCGGTGTATCACATGACCTACTGCCTCCGGCCGCATCACCTATATGCCAACAGACATAAATACTTAACTATAAGAAAAATAAATCTAGATTCTGTCTATTAATAACTAAATTAGTTCTAATCTTTTTAGTTAAAAGGGATTGGAAATTGGATAGTCTAGTAGAAATGATAACGAGGAGGAGAATTAGGCAAATAGAACAGAACATATGCCCATCCGCTTTAATACTCTATTAAGTCGACGGGCTTGTATCTATAAAAGTGAGCACGTGAGCGAGATATTATTTGATCAAGGGGTCCGGCTGGTAAGATCATTCATGCGACTGGAGGACTAGCAACTTTCTACATAGAGGCAATAAGGACTTTTCCTTACACAGAAGATAACTCAGGTCTGTTGCCAACTTTAGTTTCCTATGCTATATTCTAGCCTACATGTATGTAAGCACCCGGCTTGCAAAATAAAAAGAAAACGCACACTTTAGAGTCTACCATCAGTCCACCTATCCTACGGCAATTATACAAGCATCGGCTTAGCAGAAATTCTCCCACAAATTAATTGAAATTAACTATAGGCTTTTTAAGCTTCTAATTAGGTTATTTTCTTTTGTATTAAATATTTGTAGGTACTGTACATATCTTATTGTTGCTAGTCCCTTGTCGCAGGATGCTAAAGTGTGCAATTTTTATTTTATTTTATTCTGTTTTGCAGGCCAGGAGGTAAGTTAATACACTAGGACGTCGCCACTGATTATGCCTTTTTTCTTATTGCTAGTTTATTCGGGATTGATCAACATTGGCGTCAGGTCTGATTGGAGCTGCCTCGTCAGGATGTGTAGCTCGAGAGCACATGCAGCTCGCCGGTCCCGCCAAGCGACCTTGCCAACACATGTTTCACTCGTTGACTGGCTAGGGAGAGCCATCTCTCACACATCTGAACGCCCTTTGATGGTGGCTTTTCCCAAAGATATGCCCGGTATTAGCCTGAGTGTATCGCTTAGTCTATACGCTTTCCCGAGCTATTGAAGGTGCGACCGTAACGGCATCCGTTGAGGGGCAACTCCATAGAGCTTGAGACACGTAGTTGCAGACACGGCGGAATCTGCATGGTATCGATGAGAATCGTCAATCTAACCGTACATGTGCAACAGCAGGAGGGCACTACCAGCATAATTCAGCTTAGTCTGAGGCTGTGAGACATGGCTTTCCCGGAAGTAGGAAAGCACTGACACCGACATCCGCCGATCCAATGATAACAGCCATGTATTGGATTACGGGCCGTCGCGCTAGCAAGATGCCGTGGTTCTCAGCGAGACACATGAGAGACAGTTTAAGGCAACGACACGAAGGGGTAACAACGGAGATTCCAATTCAGACCTGGGGATTGGAGTTACTTGGCAGAGCAAGGAACTCGTCATCGATAAATTGGGAGCCTATGGACACCCACCATCTCGATTTCCGTTTCGTGCGGATACCACCTACAAAGCTTCATTCGCCACAATACCATCATCGCCATGCCGAAACCAATCCCCCAGCCACCGGGTATCCCCCTACTAGGAAACATCTTCGATATAGATCCCAAGAACACCTGGTCTTCTTTGAAGACCCTCTCGGAAAAGTACGGCGAGATCTTCCAGATCAAAGTCTTAGGGCACACCATCGTCTTCGTTGCCGGGGCCGCCCTAGCCGAAGAGCTCTGCGACGAGAAGCGGTTTCGCAAGTACGTTGGGGGCCCAATCGTCGAGATCAGATACGCCGTCCACGATGCGCTCTTCACAGCCTACGACCACGAAGAGAGCTGGGGCGTCGCCCACCGCATCATCGCGCCCAAGCTGACGCCCCAGTCCGTGGCGGAGCGCTTCGACGACATGGTGAGCACCACCAACGAATTGCTCGACAAGTGGAAAGGCCTCGGCCCCAATCATGAGCTGTCCGCCATTGGCGAGCTGAATAGACTGAACTTGGAGGCGACCACGCTGGCGCTTTTTGGCAAGAAGCTCAACTGCTTGACCGGTCCTGAGCACCCGATGCTCAAGGGCATGGAGGACTCGACATCCGAGGCGATGCAGCGGCCTAACAGGCCGGGCTTTTTGAACTGGCTTGTATTCGGAGGCAAGTTCAAAAAGGCCACGAAGACAATGAGAACCTATGCGTCGGACTTGGTGGAGCATCGCAGGGCCAACCCATCAGACCGCAAGGACCTCCTCGCCGCGCTCATCAACGCAGCGGATCCCGAGTCCGGGAAATCCCTGACCAACTCGCAGGTCATCGATGAGATCGTCTCCATGCCCATCGGCAGCAGCACTGCGCCAGGCCTGGTCAGCACCATCATCTATCTTCTCCTGAAAAACCCGCACGTCGTCACTACCGCGCGGGTGGAGCTCGACCGCGTCGTCGGCGATGGCGAGCTGACTCACGCCCACCTTTCGCAGCTCCATTACATCGAGGGCATCGTCCGCGAAGGTCTGCGACTTTCGTTCGCCGCGCCGGGATTCAACATCGAACCCATCCCCAAGGAAGGTGACAAGAGCCCGATTCTGCTTGCAGGGGGTCAATACGAGATCCCGCACAACCAGCCCATGATTCTCGTTCTTGCAGGGGTGAACCGCGACCCTTCGGTGTTTGAGAACCCCTTGGAGTTCAAGCCCGAGCGCATGGTGGGTGTGAAGTACGACGAGCTTCCGATGGGCGCGAAGAGATACTACGGGAATGGCAAGCGCGAGTGTATCGGCAAGCACTACGCGTGGCTATGGAATATGGTTGTTGTGGCAAAGCTCATCAAGGAGGTGGACTTCACAATGGCGGATCCGTCCTATGAGTTGAAACAGGATGGGTGGTTCAATCTGAGGCCAGTGGATTTCTACGTGAAGGTGAAGCCGAGAGTAAACAGCAAGGCGCCGGAGCTGTAAGACACCGCAAGCAGCTGTTGGTCGGGATCGTAGTTCAATCGGGTCGTCCTGATCCGCCAAGAAATATCCTATCCATTGAAATACTTGATACTCCAATGCCATTGCCTCTATTGACTATCTGGCTATGGTCTTCTACGTCCTCAGTGAAGCTAGATGAGAAACAAGGAAAGCTCGTCAGCCTTTTATCCCTTTCGAATGGTAATGGGACTACCATGTTGCAGACCGTCACTAAGTCCTAGCTCGACCTTTGATATAGCATTCTCTTCATACATCCGATGAACGTTACCCAGTACTCCCGAAGGTCGTGGATCAGCCATGCAAGGCGACTAAACACCACCTCTGGGCTTCATGAACCCCCTTCTATACTATGATAAGGTTTGAGCTGCTACAAGTGGTTCAAGTAGCGCCTACACATTTTGGAACTCATTGGTGGAATCCAGCAACAGGTTTCGGTACTTTGGACTTTGCAAGGTTCATCAAGGCACCCAAGTAATCTTTACTGACTCTGATGGTTACTTGACTATTCAATCTCGGAGAGACCCCGGAATCCCCGTAATGGTGCATAGCCTGCCACTTCATAACTTTGTTGACCTGGAATATGAATGCCTTTCAAATTCACCCTATAAATTCTTGTACCATTCCATGCGAGGGCATTTTTCTCACCGCACCCTCAAAGAGTAGCCAAGCTAAAACAATCAACGACTACCGTCATCACTATACTCGTAACCGAGCAGTTTCTACTGCCTCTACCAGCTCCCGAGGCGAGATACCCGCGGGATCTCGCAGTTGTGTGAAGGCATCTCCGTGTTTAGGCCCGAGAACACCGGCGTCTTTGATAAAGCCGCGATGTGAGTCGAAAAAGAAGAGCGTGGCATGAAGGGCGTCTGCTGCAACCTCGGAGGTGTGAAAAGCAGCAGCAGGAACCGTGTACGTTGAGTCCCGACGATGAACCTCCGACTGGGTCTCCATCGCTTTGAAGAGACTCCCCGTATTCCTGACAGTCGAGGACGACTGATGGGTCTTGTACGTGCTGTTTTGCCCCTTTCCGTCGTCCCACGCAAGGACGTAACCGGCATGCGTAGCTTCTGTGGGGTCCTCAACTGGCTCAACCTCCCAGGTATGATCTTCGCCCTCGCCTGCGAGGATCCAGCTCTGCGCAAAAGGCTGATGCGAGTGCAGTTTGAAGTCGGGGTTGCCGCGCTTGCCATCCGGCAGCCAGACGTGCAGGCGGAAAAGCTCGTCGATGCTGCCGTCCTTGACGAGGCTGCACAACGCGACGGAGAGAAAACCCTGCGCGCTTCGTGCCGCTGTGAAGGCTGGCGAGGTTTCGCAAGTGATGGCTCGGTAGATCATGTCCCAACATTGGGCGAGGTCTTCCGGCGATGCTGGTCGATTCTGACGCGCTGTCTCGCGCAGAAAAGATACTGCCAGGGCAAGTCTGAGAATAGCATCGTGGAGCGGGTCCTCGTCCGTGTTTGATGTCCCACTTTCAAGCAAAAGTTGCCAGTTGGTGACAGTAAGACATCTAGCCGGGGAAGACAGACGTTGGGCGATCGGCTCGATTTCCGCCTCTGACAGTTTTGCGGCTTGTGCAACCCCTCGAAGAGAGCGCAACAGTGACGCTGAATCAATTTGCATTCTTTGGGGGCTTTGAGACGGTTCCCTTGGAATAGACATGAAAGTGGCGTTTATGTCAAGATCGCTGCTGACCTGTCGTCCTTCCTAAGTTGCAAGGTAAGTTTGGCTAATTATGTTGTTTGAAGTGGTCTGGCTGCAAGTTTTATATGACCGGGGATATGCAACATCCACCTCTTCGCCCATTTTCGGAAATCCTCCATTTTATAAACTCAAAGACCCGCCAGGCTATGCCAAGATAAATCACTCACGAGGCGTACACTAAGGCTGCATGCCGCAGTGTGTGGGCGAATCACAAGGCGACATGGGAGGTGACACATCGTCTGCACAGCCTCCTCTTTAGGCAACACCAAGGCGGAAGATGCATTGTAGCTTACATGGAATTTCTCAAGTGGATAATCGTCAAAGATCGTGGTAGGTAGGGCCAGCAAGTGATTCATTTAATTCAGAACAAACAACGTGGACAAAGAATTCCATTTCTCATATCCCATATTGTCTTTCATACCCGTATTCGATCTACTGACTACACTACACTCTCTCGAGTAGAGACGAGAAGCCAAAATACCAATGCCTATATAAATGCATATATTAATGTATATATCAAGGCACTGGCCACTCTCTGATATGCCGGGTTTTCCATGAAACATGACTTGATTTTCGTCTTAATCTCTATGTGCAAGAATCCAACCCAGGGGTCCTGATGTTAGTGCTCTAAAATACACATAGCCAACTCACCGACGGAGCGACGCTTCCCCGAGTTCTTCAAGACAAGACAATTACCTGCTGGACAATCCGAGGAGATCTAGATAGTATGACGCTGTGTGTGAGTGAGAAAAAAAAAATACCAAAACTTTTACTGGGGGGAATGCCCTTTCACTCGTGCCTTCGTATATGGAGGCAGCTCCGAGACCCGTCTGTTTTGTCTCGATCGCCGAAGTCGGGCGTTAACGCCTTTCGAATATGCCTTATGAATCGTCGATGGAACTAGCTCTGAACCCTGTTGTCTTCAGCCTCTTCGTCCTCAAGTCTCTTGGCATTGGGAGGGGGGTAATGCGCCAGGAGCAAAACGCCAACGGCGATGACGGCGAGGGCCTGTACGACGATCATCAGCACCAGGACAAGCCGAGAATATGTGGGCCAAGGAACTCACCGCGTTGACGAAGAATGTCAGATTGGGCTTGCCCATCTCCGATAACGTGGCAAACACTAAGCCAAAGATACCCTGCGTCGTCAAGGTGGCTGCACTCTCGACGAGGGTGATGGCGCTCAGAGCGTCTTGACGCATGTGCGGCGGGCACATCTCTGTGATGACACCCTTGGCGGCCGGTGCTGATCCGGATGCGAATGGTAGCAGAAAGGCAGCTGTGACCAGGTATTAGTATTGCGGAGTGGGCTATTAGCCGGCGTGAAGTGAGAGAGCTCACCGGCATAGACGTGCCACCCCTTGGTCGCCCATGCGGCGAGGGAAGTGACGATTCCATCAACCACCAGACTCCACCGCAGGAAGAACAAGTCAAAGGTGCTGTCCTCGTCCTCCTCTTCAGGCGGTGCCTTGGTCGGCTCTGCGGCGTTCATCAAGCCGGGCACTGGGTCCATGTCCTCGGGATGGGTCGGGATGAGGTTGCGCTCTTCCTGGGTGAGCGTCTTCTGGAGAGCCCCGGAGTGAGACGAGGCGGCGAACCACCTCCGGCCGGCGTCGATGATTTCCGGAAAGATGAACATGAGGAAGATGCCGCGGATCCACGAGTTGCCGGACATGAGGATGCCGTTTTCCGTGGTGCCAAAGTTGAAGCGGGAAGTCGCGTACATCTGGATAAGAATCGGAGCATATCCCGTGGCGAACTGTAGTGCACATCGGGGTCAGCAAGCTCATCTAGGAGGCGTGTGGCAAGGTCGGTGGTCTCATGTCTGCACTTACCACGCCGAAAAAGATGCCGAGAGCCAGGAAGACAAGCCCGTAGTTTCTGACCACCTTGCCGGACTCGAGGCGGTACTTCTGAGGCATGAGGACCTTGATCGGAGCCAGGAACCCGGAGGCCCCAGAGGTGGTCTTGGTCGCTGCCTCGTCGTTCTGCTCGGGCGGCGCCGGCCAGAAGATGGCGCCGTAAGTCGTCGCAACAGCGAAGCAGCCGACGGCGGTGACGAAGGGACTGACGATGCCGAACAAATCGCCCAGAACACCACCGACTAGAGCAACGATTAGTTGGGCGTCGAGGGAGGGACGGTGCGGTACTCACGGAGGTAGCCGATGGCGGTACCAATCATCACAGCGCCCTGCAGCCGGCCAAAGACGCCGGTATGTTTTCTTCTCTCGACAACCTCCGCCACGGCGGTGTTTAACACAAGCCTGGTGATCACCGCCACATTAGCGCCCGCCCACCGGTCTGGGGGGGGGGAGGGATGGATAAAGGGTGCCGGTTCTCTCCCACTTACATGTATCCCCGCGGTCCTCCGACGATACCGATCAGCTGCGTGTACTGCATCAAGTCGATGCCCCTCTGGCCGCCGGTGGAGACGGCGATGATCTGGCACGAGACGCGGATGCAGAGCAGGCCCGTCTGGCTGATGAGGGCCCAGCGGGTGCCCCAGCGCTTGATGAGGTCGCCGCAGATGAAGAGGTTAAGGATGCCGCAGACGGAGGTGGTCATGCCGAGGATCGACACCTGGCGGGCCGTGTTGGCATCAATCTCGCGGCGGTGGCACATGTCGGCGGCGGGGCCGTCGAAGGGCGCGCGGCCCTCGTAGAAGGTCTCGCAGGCCATGACGCGGAAGACGTAGATGATACTGCGGCCCTTGTCAGTTTTGCATTTCTCTCCTCGATTGACAATGTCTCTTTTTTCTTTCTTTCTCTCTTTCTTTGCAGTGGTCCCGGTGCGCTAGGGGTGGTGTATCACGTACGGGACTTGGGTGATGCCCAGCGTCAGGGACACGAGGAACCCGGCGAAGAGAATGCGGTTCGCGGGAGACCACAGGCCACGGCCGACCCGCTTCACGGCGCCGGCGCCGACCTTGAGGAGGGGCGTCCGTTCGTCTGCATCTACGGCCATATTGGGGGGATTGTTTATGGCACGGTCGAGTCTTCAGTCACAAGGGGGCGGCCGGGAGTGGTTCTCTGATTCGCGCGATTACGTGGGCCAACGGAGCAGTTTGATTTCTTTTGGAGGCTCAAGTAAACTTTTGACAGAACTAGGAAGGTCGCTGGAGGAGAGAGGGAGAGAGGGGAAAGGAACGGGAACCAGACGAAAGAGGGACGGACGGCGTGACTATTGCAAACTTGGGGAGAGGAAGAAGCGGGGAGGGAAACAAGGCGGTTAAAGGATGATAAGTCGGTTCTGTTTCCGCTATCGTTGGCCGGATTGCTGGGATTGCTGGGATTCCCTAGGGAAAGGTAACTTGATCTTTGGCCGCTGCGGAAGACGGGCAGAATCCCCGCTATTTGGCCAGAAAAGATGATGGACCTTTCCGTCTTTGGGTCTCCGCAGGAAGAAGAGGGATCAGGTGGAGCGCCACCGTTGACCGATATCAGCAGATGATGAGTGGTTAGCACACCGATGGGGGAGTGTGTGTGGGAGTGGCTGAGGAAGTGGGTGTGTCTGAAAGTTGGTGGATGGAACTGAGTGGATGGGAGTATTCGTGAGTGAGTAAACAAGCAGCCAACAGAGAGACAGAGAGAGACACACACAGAGATAGACGCAAAATGACAGAAGTTCTGCGGGATTCTGTTGGTGTGGGGGGACAGACACACCAGCCGATCGAGGAGCCGAGCGCGGCCTTTGTGTTGCCAACCCGGAGTGGGCGGTGTGGAGGCCAAGCGGGGATGCCGACATGTGATAGGCCTGAGATAAAGTCGCCGGTTGCCAGACCGGAGCTGGACCGGAGCTTGACCGGGAATAAGTGCTTATCGTCGGCCTGCGTCCGCCGAGGGGCGTCCGGTAACATGGCCACCCCCACCGCGGAAGGGCCCGATCCCGCTCGTCTGTACCATGCACACAATGAGTTGGTCTTGCTGTGCGTGATGGTACATGTTATGGTCTGTTGCCAGTCGTTCCATAGAGTATTCAACGATATAGCCGGATACCTCTTTCAACACAACACCGACACGACGGTCCAGAATGGATACTCATCCAGGTCCTTGCAGATATATAGGCGCCTCCGGAAAACTATACACGGGTAAAACAGAAGAGGGATAGGCGAGGACTCCGAAAGACTCTTCCGCCTGTCTCATATATCGGCTATCAGGCAAGCCAATGCCTATGACAGTGGCTGCGCCAAGACCAGCTTGCCGAACTTGCCCTGTTCCGCCACCTTCTGCACCTTGTCCAGCGCCTCCTCCGCAGAACCCTCGAACACGTCCACCTCGGGCAGCTCGAACTCAGCGCCATACTTCTCGATAGCCCACCTCAATGCCTTGCTCAGCCTATCCCATGCTTCGGGCCGTGCCGGGAACGGGAGGACAAGTCCATTGGACAGGCGGAACGTGAACGACGCAGTTGCTGAAGGCATCGGCATCTTGTACTTCTTACCCGGATGCACCACGACCGACAAGATGGTCGCATCGCCGTCGACACACGCTTCCGTCTGCGCCGCCGAGCTGACCTCTCCCAAGGACCCGGCGCAGTCGGCCGCGTACGCAATCGGTCCCGCTTTCGACTCCACCACCGCCGCTCGGATACGGGAGACGACGTCGGGGGCCGCGTAGTCGAAGCACTGGGTCGCTCCGAGCCTCTTAAGCAGTTCGTGCCTCTTGGGCGACGCCGTGACGAAGATCGGGGACGCGCCGCTCGCTCGGGCGAGCTGCAGCATGCTTATCCCCACGCTGGCCGACGCGCCCCAGATCAGCAACGGGCCGGGCCTGAAGCCGTCTGCTGGCTTCTCGCCGGGCAGCGGGAACCCAAAGATGTTGTACAGCCCGTCGGCTGCCGTCAAGGTGACCGTGGTTAAACTGGCGGCGTGCGTTGGGGGGAGGTTCTCCGGCACCTTGTACATGATGTTTTCTGGGCAGCTGAGGTACTCTTGGTGGGCGCCGTACTTCGAGGGCTTGCCGACGCCTGTGGGGGTGAAGCCGGCTACCAGATCACCGACCCTAAAGTCGGAGGTCGGCGCGGATTGCGCCACGCGGCCGCAGAAGTCGTAGCCGAGGATCGTGGGACGCACTCCCAGGATCGGACCGTGTTTGACGTCTGCGGGGTTGACTCCTGAGTAGAGCACTTTCACCACGACTTCGCCGTCCACGAGCAAGGGCACTGAGACATTGCGGATGACTTTCAGATTGCAGTCTTCGTCAACGTAAAGCGCGGGCGCGGACGACCGGAGTGTTTCTGACATCATGAGCTGTGGGACAGTGTGTTTGACGGAGCCCGACCCAGAACGTGTCTTGTGCCGACTTGAATGGGTTTTTGGCTGCTGGGCTGGACTGAGCTGGTGATCAGCCCAGAACTCGACCCGTTTGCCAGCTTAAATCCTCGTCCCTGCGAACCAATCGCAGTCGCGGTGTTTTCCTTGTTATACAGGCCCATGTGGTTGGGTTCGAGAATATGGAGGCGCGCCTAGACAGCAAACTAAGAACGTCAGCGGCCGTCCGCGGACGAAACAATACGGCGTCTGAGGGTTAGTAATGGGCCATCGGGCCTTTCCAGAGGCCCGAAGTCGAAGACGGCTCGAACATCCAGACACTTAGTTTCCTGACGGACGTGTCATGCAACGATCCAAGTCTATGGTCCAGATCGACCGTTGTCAGGTCCAATTTCAGATTTTGCAACTTTTAACTATAAAAGGTCAGGGTTGCTCTTCGTGTATGGTGAAGGGCTATGAGTGTCACATACTCTATTCGGACTCCAGGTGAACCTTGATTAAAACAAAAATGGCACTCTCAGCTACCAGCAACATCGATTTAAATTCCCTAGACGTCGTCCTAACTGACTTCAGTTAGGAGCTTACTCGTATGTTGTTGGGAGCTGGCAGCGAAAGGTTCATCGACCATCGCCCTCTCCCCTGGAACATCCTCCTTGACCAAGACCGGATGGTGCCCAAAGGCTAAGTATCTAATTGTCTAGACTAACGGGTCTGTGGGGGGACACGGATGGAATTGATCGAGATCGAAATCATTGCGTACATTCTGGCATCTTTTCCATGATGCTGCACAATATTATGTTTCATAGGCCACAGGGAGACCCTGTATCAATTGGAATGGTCCGCTATACTAGGTGAGATTATGGAACACGCCATATGAGAGAAGTAAACCTGTATAGCCAAGCAGAAACCGAACGCTTGTAGAAATTCCTTAGCCACTGTCTAAAAAGTGTTGAAAACGGGAGATAGATACCACTTAGTTTTGTTGTGATTGGCGTCAACAGCCTGTTAGGTGGAGAGTACGAGAGATAACTTTCTATGCATAGTAATTAACTAGTCTGATTACGTTTCCTGGAAAACAGTTGCAATGAAGAACTTTCTGCCCAATTCGCTTCACATACAAAATCCCGTACCAACAACCCCTTTCCAAGCAGAACGTGCTCTCCGCCTAGCTCTTCACCACCTCTACGGCTAGGTTAGTAGGCCAGATCGGTTCATCGACACCGTTGCCCCTCGTGCCCACATTGTAACCCATTTCGACGGCGTTGTTGCGGAACTGTAAAACAGGCTTCACAACCCAAAACGTGCCTCCCACTGCCTTTGACGTTCGCATCTCGAAGAAGTGCGGCTGGAACAAGGTCTTGGAGTCGTGCTCGTGGAGGAGCTTCGACATGATGGGGACGGTATGGGCCATGGTGTGGAAATGGCGAAAGACGGGACACCCGTGGCGTTCCCAGACTTCCTTCCACACCGGCTCGGGGTACGTCCCGCATGAGCGTACGAGCCATTGTGAATAGTAGTTGAGCGAGATCTGCACCGTTAGCGAAAACACTCCGGAGAGATGGATACTTTCGGGCTTAGAATGTCAAGGTCCAACAAATGGCAAACTTACGTCAACGCCGTAGCTGCCACCGTGCTCGGCCCGTCTCATCAAAGCGTCGAGAACAGCTGTGCTGCCACATACTCCAGCGCTTTGTCCCCTCAATTAGCTTTTCTTCAACTTTCCGGATGAACTAGATCCAGGGAGCCTACCAGTAGTCCGAGTTTGGAAAGACAGGAGTGACCGCCTCGTCGAGCCCCATGGCCTTTCCGTAAGCCAGTGAAACACCGCAACACTAAACACGCCACATGTTAGTGAAATCAACACAGTTACGTGGGACCCTTGAGCTCACGGCGTCACTGATCTGCTGCCATCCGCCTCGCTTCTGCCAGGGTCCATGCCAGCCGTAGCAATTTTCTCGGAGGTGAATGATGCCGCGCTGACGGTCCTTGACCAGGTCGAAGATGTCCTGTCGACTGAAGCCATGCTTTTCCATGACACCAGGCCTGTATCCGTCCACTACAACATCGGCATCCCGAATCAGGGCCTTCAGTTTCTCCTTGTCCCCATCCTTCGTCAGGTCCAGGTGGCAGTTCCATTTGCCCCAGTTGAGATCTGGGTGCAGAGAGGACATGTCAGTGATGTTGGCCGATGTGACGCGCATGACGCTCGCGCCCATCTCCGCGAGGCCGCGGGAGACGACGGGGGCGGCGATGATTCGGGTGAGGTCGACGATCTTGAGACCGGCAAGGGGTCGTTTCGTGGAAGACGGGAGGCTATCGTTCTCGGGCCACCAGGCGGCGGGCTGCGGCGACTGTTCGTCTCTTTTGATCTCGAAGAGACCGACCTTGCTGTTCGCTTGGCCGTGCTCGCTGGCGAAGTACTCGTCCGACGACCAGGCAACTGTGCCGGCTTGTTTGGCCTTTCCGTTCAAGAGCTCGTCGAGGTCTTTCGAGTCCATTTGCGAAACGACATTCTGGATCCGTTCGAACACAGTCTCGTAGTTGTCGTCTTCCGGCCCTTCCTCGGGCAGGCCCAGTGCCTTCAGGGTGGGGTCGGGATTTATGCCTCCTGTTACGTCGTAACACTGTTAGCAATTCCGGGCGTCTCAAGCAGTCTGAGTGGTCAAGACTCGCCATGGACCTCGTAGCATCTGCCGTCTTTTGTCTTGTACATGTTGGTGACAAGGGCTCGGTGGAGGCTCGCAGCGGTTCTATGCTTGTCTGTTTCGGGGAACATCTTCATTGCCTCTGGCACGAAGTTCATGAGCGCCATGGGCGTGAATTTTCCATCTTTGCCGATGAGTTGGGCCAGCAAAGGTGAAAAGTAGAACAAGCTCGCGTGGTCACTTTTTATGTCAGCATCTTCTTACTTGACTTGGAAGGGTTTCAAGGATGGGGAAACGGGTCCACGCGCCTGCGCATGCAGGGAATCTTTGAGTTTCGAGGTGTCCTTACGTGTTGATGGTGACATCCAGCGGCTCGGCCTTGTATTTCTTCTGCAGAAGACGGTTGAGCATTGTCGCCTCGAGGGCCTTGAGGGCCGATATGCTCTCTGCGAATTTCCAGTTGATCGGGACACTTGGCTTGGGCGAGCCCTCGAATTTGACATGTTGACTGAGAAATTTGAGGTCACTTGGCAAATCTTTCATCAGCGGATTGCTCAGGATCCCGTGTTGGAAAACGGCTTCTGCCTCTTGCGGGACCGAGTATTCGCCATGAGAGCCCATGTTATGATATCCAGTTGCTCTTGTTGAATGTTGGGAAAAGGACTAGTAAGACTGCGCAACAATTCGATGATGGTACGGAGTTGAACCTAAGACGGAGCGTTCAGGAAACTAAAATACATGGTCCAAAGAAGCGTGCGCACAAGACAGTCATATAGAACTACGGCGGCAACGACTACACCCAGGTGCTCGAAGCGGTTTCCAGAAACCGTTGGACAGCTGCCTTCCAGACTTTTCGCTCATCCCGCATTCCTGACTGTACGCTATGATACCGACTTGAACGAGGCCTGACAGCCAAGGCTCACGGACCCTTTTGATGCCTCTCATCTTCGGCCGTCTTATCATATAGCTGATTGTCGGTCCTCGTCGCTCTGGGCTGGCGGAATAAACCAATCGCTGGCTCTTTATGACGACCAAAGGTTCCGAGCGCATTGAATCAAGTGGCTCTCGGAGTAAATTATCCAAGTCTCGTAGTTGAGACGAGCTGTTTACAATCGTAGCTCGGGTGCGTTCAGAGCACCCCCCGGTCCCATAAGCAAGAGTCTGTGAGTAGCGTGAACAGGGCGAGATGGGTTTGATAAACAGAAACGTCTGCTTAGTTTAGCTTCAGTGAATTGAAAGCACCAACCAATTCCGGGGGACCATGTCTGATGCTGGCGAAGGTGAAATTCCCCTCTCGTAGCCCGAAAGACCAACAAGCTTTTTTACACGTCTGCTTACCTTGACATCGAATACACGTGCAGCATGAGCATGCTTGTCCAGATAACTCCACAATCGAACCTGGTCTTTGCGGCTTCTGTGATCCGTTTCCTGTTGGTTTTCTTTCATCAACACGACATGACTAACGTGTCGCGGAGGGCGCTCATTGGCCCAGGGGACCGTATCGCAAGCCCTCTTTCAAGAGGCATCGTTTCTGACTGTACCGCAGGCTATCTATTGTCCGCACCTACTAAGCTAACTAGATGGACCTACTTCGTCCAGCAAATTCCATAAAGACCACGATGCCTTTGAGACTCGAAAGCGATAGCTACGTTCCCACTACCTCCGTTTCCCAAACCTTAAAGTGCTGTCGCCCCCAATTTTAGACCATGCCTGAGAAACGCGTCCCAGCCCCTGTTGATACAGTTCTGGACGCAACAGGCAACACACCGTGCGTGCGCCTCCGACGCGTAGTTCCAGAAGATTGCGCTAGTGTGTGTGTACGTCAAACTCGAGCCCCTCAACCCTACCGGATGATATAAAGACCGTCTGGCGAAAGCAATCGTCGAAGAAGCCGAACGCCGGGGCGAAATCCAACCGGGTTCGACAATCGTCGAGGCCACCGGCGGCAGCACCGGGTCGTCCCTCGCTTTCGTATGCAGCCTCAAGGGTTACAGGTTCATCGCAGTCTGCTCTGACGCGTTTGTGAAGGAAATGCTGCGGACCATGGCTGCGTTTGGCGCCGAAGTCGAGAACGTCCACAGCCACAACGGCAAGATCACGCCGGACATCCCTGCTACCATTGTGAAACGGGCCAAGACAATCGTGGAGGAAAACGAGATTTATTACGCCGCAGACCAGTTCAACAACAAGGACTGCATCGTGGGGTACGGGAAACTCGGCGGTGAGCTTGTCGAACAACTGCCTCAGGGGATCGACGCGTTCTGTGGTGCCGCCGGAGGAGCTGGTATGGTCATGGGCACTTCGAAGGTGCTCAAGGCAGTGCGTCCCGGTACTCGAGTCGTGGTTGTGGAGTCGTCGTCGGCACCGCTCCTGAGCCAAGAGATAAGGGGCGTTCATGGAATCGAAGGAATTGGACCCGGGCTCATACCACCTCTGCTCGACAGCACACTATACGATGAGATCCGCGCGTACCCCGAAGAGGAGGCGCGCGAGATGTGTCGCAGACTCGCGAAAGAGGAGGGCATCTTAGCTGGCACTTCAACGGGACTCAACGTTGTCGCTGCTCTCGCCCTGGCGAAGGAGCTTCGTCCTGGGAAAGTGGTTGTTACGGTCGCGTGCGATACAGACCTGAAATATGTGAGCGGGGACTTCTACGAGTAGGACTGGACAATAGTTATTACAGTATTATCCTAGATTGATCTATATAACTTTCACGTGATAGGGGACTAACCTCCCTGGACCATGTAGTTACTGGAGGCATATTTCGTCTTTAGAATACTTTCGAGACTTCTCTCGAATTCCAAAGAAAGCTGGTAAAAATTCATTGACAAGATTCTTCTTGTACGTAAATGTCACCTCTAAGATCGATCGATTTCTCGTCATGTTAATAGTAGTTCTTCGGGGTTATTGGTAAATGGGCCTCGCGGGATCCCCTATTATAAGTCATGTCAATCCGGACCCCACTTCGACGCACGTAAACTGTCTCTATTATTATTATTCTTGGCCTCCTAAGAACCACCTTCAAAGCTACTGTGGCAGCCGATGGTGAGAGGGTTTTCGAGATTGTAGGAGTATCCGCTTTTGCTGAAGCTTGACCCTCGAGCGTCAGCGAGAGTTTCACCGGGTGTTGAATCATTCAGTCATGCTCGCAGCTCGCCGAACCCTTGGCGGGGTTTTGTTGAGGGGTTCTGTGAGCTGGGAACGAAAGCCAAGGATTTGCAAGTGAAAAGAGCTTAAGCTCCACATTGTCGCATCTGCACCTAGCAACCATCATAGTTTACATAGTAGATGTGGGTTGGCGGCCTTCTTGTAATGTTTCTTCTCAAGCTGACCTCCTCCCGCCTCTCCCTGCCCTCTCCCTCTCAACCACTCCACCGATGCATTTCCACCAATCCCCGGAGATCCTAAGGTCACGTCCGCTTAACCGAGGCTGCAGGAGGTCTCTTAGCCCAAACTAAGATGCGTCTCTAGCCGATGGTACCAGTAGAACAGTGCGGCGCGCTTGCCTCAGTCGAATTACTGCTTCAACCGGACCGAATCAGGTACATGAAGCATGTAGGGGAACCCGATCGACCGGTCCCGAGGGGATGAGGCGGAAACCCTAAAGCTTCAAAACCCTTGACCCCTCTCCCTCATTTTCGATAGCTCGAAGCTAACGGCTGGAGTCATCCCCGACGAGTGTCGTTCATCCAAAGACAGACGAACAACAGCGGTTTTCTTTGAGACGATTTGAGCGTCGGTGTTCTATTGAAGAAGTCGATTTCCCTCTACCATCAAGGTGCTAGTGAAAGCTGGGGCTGCGAGTAAGTATGAAGGCCAACGCCGTAGCCATGGCCAGAGCCGCCGCTCTCCGCGGCCTTCGTCGAGCAGAAGTCGAACGACCCCCGCTTTGCTCAAAGACCCCTCGCAGGCGGCTGCCGGTGGTGCCACGAGCATGCATGTCTTCCGTCGCGAAAGCCGTCGGCATCGCGCCCGCACCTCCGCCGCCGGCGCAGGGCCCCGAACTGGCCGCGGCGCAGCGGGCCATTGAAGCCAAAAAGATACTGCAGAAGGCTGCCAGCGCGACTACCGTCCGGCACGATTGGACGAAGGATGAGATCTCCGCCATCTATTACCAGCCCTTGATGGAGCTGGCCTTCCAAGCTGTGAGTTCTCTTTCCGCCGCCAAGCGAATGACCTCGAGTACGGCTGACCCGAGCCCACCGACCAGAGCTCCGTCCACCGCCGATTCCACAACCCCGCCGAGGTTCAGCTCTGCACCCTCATGAACATCAAGACGGGCGGCTGCACCGAGGACTGCTCCTACTGCGCCCAGTCCACCCGGTACCAGGACGGCACGGGCCTGAAGGCCAAGAAGGTCGAGAGCGTCGAGTCCGTCCTCGCGGCGGCGCGCAAGGCCAAGGAGAACGGCAGCACGCGGTTCTGCATGGGCGCCGCGTGGAGGGACATGCGCGGCCGCAAGAACAGCCTCAAGAACATCAAGGAGATGGTCAGCGGCGTGCGCGGGATGGGCATGGAGGTCTGCGTCACGCTCGGCATGATCGACGAGCACCAGGCGCGCGAGCTCAAGGAGGCCGGCCTGACGGCCTACAACCACAACGTCGACACCAGCCGCGAGTTCTACCCGTCCGTCATCTCGACCCGCAGCTACGACGAGCGCCTCAAGACGCTGGGCCACGTCCGCGACGCCGGCATCAACGTCTGCTCCGGCGGCATCCTCGGACTGGGCGAGTCGTCGGAGGACCGCGTCGGCCTGCTGTACACCGTTTCGACGCTGCCGTCGCACCCGGAGAGCTTCCCCGTCAACGCCCTCGTGCCGATCAAGGGGACCCCGCTGGGCGACCGGACGCCGATCCAGTTCTCTAGCATGCTCCGGACCATCGCGGCCGCCCGCATCATCATGCCTGCCACCATCATCCGCATCGCGGCGGGGCGCAAGACCATGTCGGAGGAGCAGCAGGCCATGTGCTTCATGGCTGGCGCTAACGCCATCTTCACGGGAGAGAAGATGCTGACGACGGACTGCAACAGCTGGGATGAGGATAACGCCATGTTTGGGCGGTGGGGCTTGAAGCCGATGAAGAGCTTTAACAAGTCGGCGACCCCGGTCGGTGAGGCTGGTCTATAAAATGGAGAATTGGCAACGTGGATAAGATTTGAGCGGAACCGCGCATGAATTCTATTCGTTTTGTTCTCGGCGAGGTTGAACTCTCGGGGTTGCGCTACTAGCAGCGTGAGTCGGGTTCTGTGGTCGGTCGTGAAAGAGAGCTTCACACGGGTTGACTAGGCCGGTTGTACTACTCGTAGAGCATGGCCCGGATAGATATCGTGATACTTGGTACCAATTTGCTCTTACCGACTCCCATTTGTCAATACAGTTCTTCTTCACAAACGGAGAAGCGTCTCCCACCAAGCGCCGAGCTCTGTTGCTGCCTAGGTATCAATCGTCTTGGCCACGTGTTGATGCGATCCCTTGGGTACTTTCACCCAGCCAGGTGCAAACACGGAGGGATGAACTTTCCTCTTCTACTCTTTGAAGGGTTTGCGACCACGGTGAGATAAAGCTCGGCAGTGAGTGAAGGGGTTTCATTCCGTGGGAGGTGCACTTGCACCGCAGGCTTGAAGGCCCGACATTAACCGGATAACCACAGTGAGCTGTATGAAAATATAACAGCCACTATAGAAAAATGACGCGATTATTGTGAGTTTAAATGTCGCACTCACAATGTTTCATGACGGAGTTGGACTAACGCGTGAACGACCTTTATTGGCATCTGATCGCGTGACACATGCACCAGCGCTTAGCCCTCACCGTAAGATGAATAGAGCCTCTAGCTCTCCCATCAACCCTGTCATCATTGAGGCTGAGTCTATCTAATTTCAGGCTTACTTCTCTCACCGGTCAGATTTTGTCAAGGTTGTGTGAAAATGCTGACAGGCGCCGCTAGATCCGTAGTCCGTGCTCCGCTAGGTTTCTTGAGTGAGAATGAGAGTGAGAATGAGAGTGAGAGTGAGAATGAGATAGCAAGGGGATGATGAATACGCGAGCGTCTGCCACGGCAACGAATCCTTCTCGCCTGAACTTCATCTTCTTACACTCTCCGTCTTGCAAGCCTCATTTCTGTCCTCGTTCATCTGTATCTTCTTCTTTTCTTCTCGCTCTGTCTGTCTGCCATTCTACCTCCTACCCAGCATCCATTGACATATTCCCCGAGGTAAAGGACACGTGCCGCCTGATCGTCGAAAACACTACTGCATAAGGAACGAACAGCCATTAACATGATGCTGCTGCAGCGTGCATGTCGCCCCAACGCCGGGGCCGCTCTCCGCATCCCCGCGCGAACCGCCGGCCGCCCCTCGACCCCTCGCTGGTCGCGTACCTACACGAGCGGCGGCGGCAGCGGCGGCGGCGGCTCCTCTCTCCGCGCACCCCAGCTCATTGGCGTGTTCCTCCTCTCCGGCGCTGGCGGATGGGCCATCTCATCCCTGCTCCGCGACGGGAAGAAGGGCAAATCCAGCGCCGTCATTCCCAGCCTCGGCCCCGGGCCCGTCGACCTCGAGGCGCTGGCCAAGTCGCCGGTTGACGAGGGCAGCTTCGCCAAGGCCGATGCGAAGCTTCGCGAGGACGTGTTTGTGGGTTCGTTCAGTGCCGCGGGCAAAGATGCCCACGTCCACGCGGCGAGGGTGGCCAGCAACCATCCGGTCGAGGACTACATGGCGTGTTCTCTCGCGCCGGGGGTAGGGAGCTCCCAGACCCTCTTCAACGGCGTCTACGACGGTCACGCGTGAGTCTCTCGCTTCCATCCCGGATTCGCTTCGCAGACGGGACAAGACAACTGAATCTCTAACCAGCGGGTGGGCAACCTCGCTGTTGCTCAAGAGCGCCCTCATCCCCGCCGTGTCATCCTCCATCGCCCAGCTGCAGCCCGGAGCCAACGACACCGCGGTCGAGGCCGCCGTCGGCAAGGCCTTCACCGACCTCGACGACCTCATCATGACCAACGCCGTCAAGGCCGTCGACGGCCTCAAAGCAGGCGTCGTCGAGCCCGCCGACTCGAGGGTGATGGCCGCCATCGCCCCGGCCATCGCCGGCTCCTGCGCCCTGCTCTCCATCTTCGACCCGGCCACCTCGACCGTCCGCGTCGCCTGCACCGGCGACTCGCGCGCCGTCCTGGGCTCCGCCGCGCCCGGCTCGTCGTCCTACTCCGCCCTCGAGCTCTCCAAGGACCAGACCGGCCGCAACCAGGACGAGTTCGACCGCATCACCAAGGAGCACCCGGGCGAGGACGGCATCCTCGACAAGGAGAGCGGCCGCCTGCTCGGCATCGCCGTGACACGCGCCTTTGGCGACCACCGCTGGAAGTGGACCGAGGACTTCATCAAGCACGTCCACCTGAACTTCTTCGGCACCTCCCCGCGCCCCAAGTACGCCACCCCGCCGTACATGACGGCCGCGCCCGTCGTGACCACGACCAGGATCCAGGGCCCGGACTTTGTCATCCTCGCGTCGGACGGCCTGTGGGACCACATCTCGTCCGAGCACGCCGTCGAGTGCGTCGCGCAGTGGCTCTCGGCCAAGAAGGCCGGCGAGAAGACGCCCGGCGACAAACTGGCGCGCACGCCCGCCAGCCCCAGCGCGTTCGACACGTCCGACGGCTGGCCCAACTGGTCCGCCACGCCCGAGCACTTCGTGGTGGAGGACCTTGATAACGCCGCCGTGCACCTGATCAAGAACGCCCTCGGCGGCAAGCGCAGGTCCCTCTTCACCGGCGCCGCGCTCGCGTATGCCCCCTTGTCCAGGAACGTCAGGGACGACGTGACGGTCCAGGTCATCTTTTTCCAAGACCCGAGCAAGGCGAACTGATCAGGGGTCCTTCGTGATTGGGGTTTGCGTCAGTAGGAAGGACGGCGTTGTGTTGTCTTCCGGATCAGGGGGCCTTCTCTAGACATTGTGATGCTGGTCTAGGGATTCACATTTAGAGCTTCACTGGCCTCTCTAACATGTTTGGCTGATAGGGTACACTGGTAGGCGTTTCTTACCGCGCTCTCGCAATATACAGCAAATCAATTACGGGCATGGTGAGACGGTAAAGCCGGGTGCTCCAGGGTTGTCTCTATACACCTTGGAAATCCTGTACTAAAGTTCATGAGTTATCCGGTTGCAATAGGGTTTATATATATATATATGTATCCTTCGAATCAGCATTTAAATAACAGATGGCAAATCCCGAATGAATTTCTTGCGGCATCTCCCTCGTCATCGTGATAACCAGAGGAACCCGGTCGTGGTGATGCCGCAATCAATCGCAAACAGCAAACCCCTCAGAAAAGCAGCTCGGCCAGATGGTTATGAAGCAAATGAGCTCCTCCATCTCGTGGTGGAGGGAGGTCGCATATAAGTACCCTCCTGATGGTTGGCTAGTATTAGACCGTGCAACACCTTTGTAGCAGCCATGCTGTATGGGCATGGTTGTTTCGATCTCGCCAGGGGCGACCACTCTAACGCGTATGCCTGCCTATATCTTTCATCTCCTCCTGGGGAGGGACCTCTAGAGCAGAACATACTCACCATCCACATCCGCCGAGACCTCCTTGTACGAAACGTACCACATGCCCGCGCCATCCTCCAGTGTCTTGCCCTGACAGTCCTCGACTTCATAGACCACGTACTCGTCGCCGGGGTCTCCCGCGTCCAACGTGTCGACAACCTCGAAAGCTAGGCTCTCGGCCTCCTTCCTGGCCTCTTGCTCCTTAGTATCTGACTCCTCGAGCCCCTCCGTGACGGGACGGATCTCGTTGCCCACGGCGTCCGGCCCCAACGATCTCTCTTCTTCGGCCTCGGCTGCCGGGGGAGCGGGAGTGGGCGTGAGGGCCATCTTGCCGAGCTCATCCTTCATGGCCTGTGCGTCCTCAACTGTCGAGATCTCCCAGCGGACGAGCTTGTCAAGTAGCCCGCGGAATGCCTCTTCAATTTGGCAGTCATAGAGAGCCTGGTCCAAAACCTGCTGCCGCTCGGGCCCTGAGCGCCGTCGGTCGGCGGGCCTCGCCGAGCTCGTTCCCAACGCAGAGCGCTGCTCTTCTCCTTTCTCAGCTCCAAGACGCAATCTGTCTCGAGGCCTGCTGTACCTGTCTTCGGTTATGGAGGCGTAAGGGCCAGAGGATCCCTCTTCCAAAGGCAAGTCTGAAGCCTGCTGCCGTTCAGGCTCCGCCCTGGTCCTCTTGTCGTTTAAGGTCCTCGACTCGGTCTGCCCGGGCCGCGTTTTCTTCTGCCTCATCACGTCGAGACCGGCTGCGACCGACCGAGGGATCTGAACCAGGTGTGAGTGCAGCCCCGACCCCTTATCGCATCGTAAGGGGTCTTGACAGAGCCGCCGGATCGTAGTGGTCCTCTGGAGCGGGAGATCGGGGCGCTGGGACAGACCCGCAGCTGACTCGGGGGGTTGATGTTGGCGCCGAGGGGTGGTTGGCTGGGAGCTTCTCAACTGGCTCTTCATTTTGCTTGTTGTTTAGCACTCTTTTCTCGCCTTCTTTTACGGCTTGCTTAGGTAGTCTCCAGGGAGAAAGAAGTTCATGCGGTGAAGGCTCCGCCACGGGTCTTTATACATGCAAATTCGGAAAGACCTCAATGTCATACATCCGTCGACCGTGCGGCAGAGTCAAATCTGGGAAGGATGACGGTATTATCGAAGTGTCTTTGGCCTTGGTGCCTCGATCCAAGACTCTGGAAATCTTCCATAAAGGTGGATGGCTTCGGTCTCGTGACCGTTTATGTGTGGGCCGTAACCACCTTGCCAAGGCAAACCAAAAGTCGGAAAAGCATACGTGTCAAGCAGTTGAGAACCAGGAAGGCGAGAGACGCCTCGCCTTTTGACCATGTTCTGGAGAACGAAGATGTAGCTTTGCTCAAATGTTACTAAATGTATCAAGAGACAGAGGGTATCCGCTAATCCGCTTCCAAATCAGACCCGATATTCCCCATTCAACATCACCACCTCGTCTAGTTATCTCTAATCTCCTCTTCATTTCAAGAACCCAGGGCCGTGTTGATAGTCTACACAAGCTAGCACCGGCCACGGAAGCCCGTGTGCTTCTTATGACCGCCGTCGTGAAGTATGTTGGCGACGCTACTCTTCGCCCTCCGAGTCTTGCCAGTTGTTCTCGTCATCATCGTGAAGCCCCTGATAGTCGGACCCTTCACCTCTCATCTTCGAGACTACCTGGGTGATGTACTTGTTATCTGGCTTCAAGGCAGCGTAAAGTCTTGGCGTCACGACGACGGGAATACTGCCGTGGCCCGCCGTTGTCATCGACTTGATGTACTGGAGCTGTATACCCGCCATACGCCATACAAATTTCGGCTTGCGTTTGTAGTATTTCTTGAATGCCATGCTCGCACGTAGCAGAGCCCATTGCGATAATTCCTCACACAGGTAGTCTTGCAGCAGAAGGGCCTCGATCGTCGGATCAAGCACTCCATCTGGCCTCGGCTGAACGGCACGCCACGACTCATAAACTTCTGCGATGCGACGCGGAAGGCCTTCTTTATCCGCGGTTGAGGCAACGGCTGTGTTCCACTTTTTCTCGAGGTCCTTCAGATCATCCGTCAAGTTCTTCAGTACCCTTTTTAGGCCGGGGTGTGTTGCTGCGAGCTTCTCAAAGACTTCATGTGGCTTGGTCAGATCTGGATCCCATAACTCCGCCGTCTCTTCTTCCTCTGTATCCTTCCTCATACTAAAAGATCTCAGTTCACGTCGATCTGAGCTCGAGTTCATTGCCTTGTGGAACTTCTCAAGCTCAGCATCGATTGTCGGCTTGGCAACCGAAAACTTGAGATAGTCGATAATGTGTGTGGGCTTCCCGCCACCCGACCAACTATCGAAAAAATATGCCGGGTCCTCGAGGTAGCGGAACTTCTGGCCGTCGAGCCGCTCGCGGCGAAACCTATTCCAATCATCCACGCTAAACTCAAAACCTTGCTTGGCTTGGTCCACGAGATTTCCGAGGAGAGCACTCAGCCAAAGCGCATAGTCGTTGTTGACGCTGTTGATGCGATAGCACAGCCTTTCCTTGAACTTGGTCGCCCTTCCCAGGTAAGAGGGACGCATGCTGAAGGTAATGCCGCGGTTGATCATATCCAAGACTGCATCCGAGTTGGCTCCACGTCCAAGGTCGGCAAATACCGTGGTGTCCTTCTTGAGATAGCCTGATAGGTCTGGGATCGGCGGCACATCTGCGTTCTTAAAGTTTGACACAATGGCCGGCTCCCAGCAAACCCAAGCCCTGTCTCCGTCGTAGTCACCGCCCGAGAGTTTGTCGGCAAGAGGCACATTTCCCTTGGCGGAGAAAACGATGACATCTTTGATTGTATGCAGTTCTGGCTTGAAGACGGCCTTCACTCTTTGTATATCGCTCACAAAATGTGCAGGGGAGCGAGCTACGAGAACGTCGCAGCCATGGAGCATCGAGTCCGAAAAGGTGTCGGTCTGGAATTTGGAAGAAAAGCATAGATGGACTTCGCCCTCCTCGAGCACATTCCAGAAATCAACGACCATGAAAAAGTATGCCGAGTTGGATACCTTGATGCTCATTTTCTTCTTCAGGCTCTCGCACAAGCTGTACCTGAGATTCCAGGCCAGTTCTTGGAGATACCTCTGCTTCTGAGGTTCAAACCCGGCATCTATGAGACTGTTCATAATCTCCTCGTTCGATTCGGGAAGACCACCCATATAAGGCACATGGCCGTGTACAAGTCGCTGTGTCCGCGTAGAGGATGTTTGGCTGATCCATTGCCGAAACTGCAGAGGGTATTTCATGGCATTCTTCTGTTCCTCGAGCTGGCGGTTGAGCTCGTCAACAAGGCTTTTGCCAACGGCCTCACGCATCGCTTCCTTATTTATGGAGCGATCTTCAAGGACCGGAAGAAACTGGATGTTGAGACAGGCAGACCTGGGTTCCATTGCATGGGCACGTGCTTCAAAGGTGCGGTGCTCTGGGTCACCAAAGTCACAGTTCCACTTCCGCTGAGATGGCCAAAGTTCCAACCAGAGGTCGTCTTTGTCGTCGGAGATATCGATGAGCCACATGCCCTTTGCAGGACCGATGCGACCTTGTATGGCAGAGGGAATATCACTAATGCCAAGAACGTCTCGTGCCTTGCGTGCTAGAGAACGCGACATACGCCCAATACCGTCATTCATGACCTTTCCAATTGGGGAGCACATATCCTGGTCTTGGATTCGTATCTGATCGCGACCAAGAACAATTATTGGTGTTGTTTTGCTGAGGCCTAGAGAGGTATCAGCCTGGTGGAACAAGTTTCGAGGTTTACCAGTTTCTTACCAAGCTGTATACGGGAGAAGAGCTTCAGGCAGGGCTGTTCTTGATTTCTGTCGAACTGTAGAAGCCAATCAAGCATGCGACATGTAGATAGCTTCACTCTCAGTTCGGGCGTGCCATCTTTGGGCGATGTCCCGCCAGGGGTATTGACGGTGTGAAAGTTGTTTCCATTCTCGGCAAAGAGGCTGATCCGCTCTCGGAAAACGGGTCGAGGCTCCGGTCCAAGGTATAGGTTCTTCGGTGGCTTTTTATAGCCGCCATCTCTTGAGAAGAACGCCCGCCAATGTCTACCCGCAAAGTAATGGAGCTTTGAAGACAGCCAGCGGATAACCTCCTGCGAGGCCTCAGGGTTGTTGAGGGGTGCGGTCCAGGAATTGGAAGCTGGGACCAGGAGTTCTAGGAAGCGATCTGAGCCAAAATGACGACGAAGACGGCTGCCATGATCAAGCGAGACTGGCATCATGGACAATATGAATACCTGGCCTTTCTTCTCGTTTGGAGCTTGATCAAGGGCCGCCGAAAATACCACATGCTGTCCGCGGACGGTTTTGAAGCCGGACATTGCTGCCTTCCAGGCATCCGCGCAAGGTTGTTCTGGGAATGCCTTGCCAGCGAAAAGGGGGTGGGCGAAGAGAGACTTCCGGAGCTGCTTGTAGTTGATCCATGATTCGTCATAGGTCATGTCGACGTCCCCCAAGTCGACGTTGCAATGAACTGCGATACGGGTGACTTCCCAGGCAACCGCGAAAGGGGCACGGTTCAGCCAGCACGGGAATCTGGCTGTTATCTGGTCAGCTTTGGAACCATTGAGCACCGCCCTTGGCAATAGAGGCTTAACCCAGAGCATTGACGTGCCGAAGACTTACGCCAAGACGCTTCAAGTCTAGACAAGAGATCCACTGGTTCAGTTCTCTTGAGGGGGGCAAACAGAGCCTCACAGAGAGTGGGATCGTCAAAACCAGAGATTTCCGAGCGGACTGCCACGTCACGCGACTTGCCCAACGGAGCAGGTTCAGCTTCGGTAGGTTTCGTGGCAACATTCGACGAGGCTCCCGCGTCGTGCTCGGAGAATGAGACGTCAAGCGCATCAAGATGGCCGGAGCTTGCCGGGAATAGATCTTGCGAGTCCGACGAGGACGGTTCGACTGGGGTGGGTATTGTCTCTTGAGTACCCGGGAAGCAATCGTTCGCCGCGGAGAAAATAGATGTCCGGCTGGTATTTGCAGATGTCGAGAAGGAAGTGTTTGCAAAGACGCCATCACGTGAAAAAGACGCATTGCTGGGCCTGGAAGGCCATTGAACGCGCTTACTGAACCTTGCTGCTGAGGACAAGTCGAGATGGGGCGATTGGGAGCGGCTGGGAACATTGTCTAGGGTGTTGATCACCCCTTCAGACAGACTGGACTTGGCCTTCTTCGGCGAAATTGCCTTGTTATCCGCTTCGGATCTTCTCTTAGACTTGGGGACTCCAATGGCTGGATAGGCCGCCGGACCTGGGTGAGATCGAGTGGAAGTCATAGATTCCAGCTGTTTAGGTCGAGCCTTCCTCAGAATATTAATAAGTATCTCCTGGAGCCTGAGAACTTCTCCCGGAGACTCGGCTTTGGGGGATACACCGGGATCCGAGAGAGGCTCGTAGTCGTCAGATAGGCGGATCCATCGTTGGCTAGCGGCACGGGCTTCCATGTGGAAGTTTTCCAAGATCCTGTCAATGAAAGAGGTCTGAAAACAATGATAACGGATCTGGCGGACTATTTCCTCGCTGCGGGCGAAAGCAGCATCCTGCTGGGCGCGTGCCCGGGTTGATGAGGGAGTAAGTGTAACATCCGGCAATTCGACGGAGAGATTATAGTCGCGGTTGAGCTCGTCGATGACACGGTGGACCAGTTCGCTCTGGGTAGGCTTCTTTGGTGTTTTTGGGGCCGGTTGGGCAGTCGTTGTTTGCGTTACCATGTTTGGGTCGAGTAGTTCAGGGCTCCGGATTCGATGAGAGTCAGAGGGCACATGCATTGGGCCCAGTGAGCACTCGCAGCTCGAAGCAGAGCCAGTGTGCGATACTGCGATGCTCGTTTATTGGACCTGGTCTGTTGAATGGTAATTAACGAGGCGCCAAATCAAAAGTTGAGGCAAAGGTCATGCCATATCGAAGTTGAGGGTCGGAAGCAAAGAGGTCGAATGAGCTGCTTCGCGGGTTGGCGCAACAAGAGGGCAAAGACGAACATCCAGCCGTTTCAGAACGAGGGAGAATATGTAAAGAGACGGAGCATTGTTTGCTTGTTCGAAAGAAAGGCGAGGCTGTGGCTTCGGCTGTTGGGAGGAGGAGACCTCATCTATCACAACGCAGCACAACGTCGCGGAGGGGTAGGTACATAGTGACTTGCCGTACCTACCCTTGACCCACCTACCAGTACCTAGTTGAAGGCGTCGCCGTCACACAGCTGAAGGGAAGGAACAGCCTGCCAGGGAGCAAGTGGGTCCTTCAAGAGCTCATCCATTGGCCAGAGAGCAAGGATTTCAGGGCAGCCGTAGATAGCCCGCATCGCTAAGCGAGAGAGAGGGTGGGTCCATGGACCAATCATACATAGGCTTGGAGGTGGGATCACCCGCGACAGGTACGGGATTAACGGTAGGCGCCTCCCTTATTAGTGCATGCAGCAACGGCCGAGGATGCTCAGTGGATGACATAAGGCAGACGGATGACATAAGATGAATGGATGACATAAGACAGATGGATGATATAAGGAGAAGTAAGATGGGCATGCAGTGTAGAGGAGCTAGCCAATACTATTGCTATTCCCGAAGCTGGAAGGGAAAAGGCGGCGTTGGTGGCATATAGCCCGAGTAGAAAATCACCTTACGGACACAGACAAATATGGGCGTGTGTTGACTGACGCCTTACAACTCGGCATGTCCTGACAGATAGAGAGCATGAACAACAGAACACAACACAGCCCTTATAAGCACATCAGCGTTATATTTCCTTCTCGGTGCGAGACATCTCAGCCCGTGAGGGCCCTTCAAAGACGGCTCTCTATTTGCACCTCCGGCGCCCGTCCTGCCGCCGCCTTTGGGAACTCCTCTTTCGCGTCGGCCTCGTCTGCCAGGACCTGCCTGAAGACCGCCTCGACGTCGTGCTCGTGGATCCAGACCGGCTCGACGCGGTTCGTCATCCTCGCCCGCAGCCCCTCGTCCGTCTCCTCCACGCCCAGCCTTGCCACCTTGCTCCTGTTGGTCGAGTGCACCGTCTCCAGCACCCGGTCCGTGTGCGCCTTCCTCGTCTTCTCGTACAGCCTTAGCGCCCTCGCCATCTCCTCCGCCGTCGGCGCCTCCGTCGTCGACACCGGGTAGACGTGCCGGACCGCCGAGGCGAACGCCCACGCGTCGTCGATGGCCAGGCTGCCGCCCGCCGCGAACGCCCCGCCGTGCGCGTGCGCCGCGTCGCCCGCGAACGTCACCCGCCCTCCGCCCATCACCCAGCTCTCCAGCCCGTGCGCCGACGCGTTCGGGTACACCTTCAGAGAGTCCGCCGGCGTCGCGTCGATGATATCGCGCACCAGCCGGTGCCAGCCCTTGTAGTGCTCCCTGATCAGCCCGACGTCGCTGTCCGTGTTCCACACCGTCTCCTTGTACGGCGCGTCCGCCGCGTCCGGGTCGCTCTGGTGCGAGGCGACGATGCAGAAGAGGTCCTTGCCCAGCTTCGACATGAACCACGTCCGGTCCGTCCCCCACCAGTGCTCCGCTTCCTCCGGCAGGTCGGGGATGTGCGCCACGTGCGAGATGGGGTACACCGCCCGGAACGCCGTCCAGCCCGTCCATTTGGACCGGGATGACGGCACGTAGCAGCTCCGCACCCCCGAGTGGATGCCGTCCGCGCCGAGGAGCAAGTCCGCCGTGATGCTGGTGCCGTCCGTGAAGCCAACCTTCAGCCTTCCCGTCGTCTCGTCGTTGCTGATGGTCTCAAAGGCCTTGCCGAGGTGCATCTGGCCGGCGTCGACGTGCTCGAGCAGAGCCTGCTGCAGATGCGGCCGATAGAAGCGCGCCGTCTTGTGGCGCGCCTCCACGTCGCCGCGATGCTCGTCAACGGAGACGATCTCGCCTGTGACGGCATGCCTGTTTCACGACATCAACGACCGGAACTGCCAAGCCCCGCCGCGGCCCCGAGAAACACCCTTACCGATAGATCATGGGATACCCTGACTTGTTGCGGAACGCAATGGAATCGTCGAGCGCATTGTGAATCCCCAGCTTCTCCAACGTCCGCAGACCGTTCGGTCCGAGCGCAATCGACGCGCCGACTTCTCGTAGCTCCTTTGCCTTGTCGTAAATCTGGACATTGATGCCCGGGTGGTCCTTCAGCGCGATCGCCGCCGTGAGGCCTGCGATGCCGGCGCCGACGATGGCGACTTGGAGCTGTTGCTGCGGGCTCTTCCCCATTATCATGACTTGCTGGATGTCAATCTCGAAGCTTGTCGTCTTTGCAGAGCATTAATACAGGGTCTAGCGACTGCAGAACACGTCTGCATGGACGAGGCACCCCACCACGCATTTATGAAAAGGCCTGTCCTCCGGCGTTGGCCACATGCGGTTCCCCCCGGCTTGAAGATAGATAACGCTGCGTTGGTGTGTGGGGATCGGAGCCGAACCCGGCGTGACGCCATATCGCCCTGAGATGGTGATACTGAACTCGATACCCCCGCATCACGCCTGGGAACGGGGTTCCGATAAAGGGCTTGCAGGAACAGGCTTTTCCCCGCAGCCAATCTGGCCCTCTGTTCCCGTCTCGCGCCATCCAAGCCCACAATCAAGTGGCACGTTTTCTTCCTTTCTTGGTCACTTTGTCGGGCGACTTCCGACTGTAGGGCTGTGGGCTAAGCCCGGCGTCCACTGTGAGTCTGTGTTATGCGGGAAGTGGGAAACTCGTAGATTCGCTGGTCACATATTCCATTATCGCACATTTATAACTCACCAACTGCCGCATGAAACTCATCGCTGCGAGATTCTGCCGGTTCCGCAGACCGTGTTTCTGGTTGTATCGGCCAGTTCCGGTGGACAAAATCCTTGGGTTTTAAAAGGTACGCCGGCCCAGACTCCGAACAACAAGCCATATTTGCTTTCGGTCAACTTTGACGTATATCCGAAGGGCTCGCCTTGGACCTCCCTTCCCCCTTGCTAGTCTAAGCAATTGCATGTGTTCACTTCGACTAGCAGGCTGACGCATGTTGTGTCAAGTAGCCAAAAACGACGCCGTTAGTTACGGAGCAGTAACTAACGCTTATATCTTGTGACATGTGACCTCCACAACGTCAAACATTCCGCACTCATCCGAGCTTTTCTCTTAAAATATCTACGCTGTCCTTTGAGGCCTTATCATTCCACACATCATTGAGACGGTAATCCGTGCTATCAGGCAGCAAGGCGCCCATTGCGAGGCGCCTCTGGCGGGGCTCGTAAGGCAGACTCACCTGACGGCTGGCTGTAGGCTCTTTGCAATCTTTTCGAATCATCTTCCACCAACGGCTTTTGGCGTGCATTCTAAGACTACATACCCTGGCTGAATGCTGGCACTAACGGAAAACGTTGCCTTTCACTGGAGAGAAATTCTTATCTGTTTCAGCTACTCCCACTAGCTGCATGCAAAATAGCCATCAAATCATTGTACAACCAGAAAACCAATCAGTCATCAAGGGCGCACCAGTCCGCCTCGTGAAAAGGAAAATGGATATATAATATGATTGAGCGCCAAAAGCCCATTCCATTGTTGCGTAACTGGCGGCCGCATTGAGTATCTCAAAGATGTTGTCGTCAATATCAAATCCACTGCCTATTTTGCAAGGCTGGGACGAGTCCAGCTCAAGCTTCAGCACGACCGCCAACGGCATTGATAGCAATGCCAACCAGCTAGATTTCCCCCTTCTTTACGTGGACATAGATCACCAGTCAGCCTTGGACACTACTACAGAAGGTCTTCGAGTCAAGGCTTCGGAGGCTATCCGACAGTATTATCAATGGAACCTTGATTTCAGCCCAATCTACGCCCTCAAACTCGTAAACAACTGGAGCGCTGTCTGGTTGTCCCCGGGTCTCGATTCTCCCTTCCTCTTCTTAGCGGCTTACCGGCCTGAACTTGTCATAGGGTTTTACGCCCTCCTGAGGAATCTAATGCAACTGGCCGATGTTGATGAAGGCTTTCCTCGATACGACTCATATTCTTGGGGTTACAGCCCACATTACGCGACAGTGCTGCTGGAGAGGATGATGATCATCGGATATCCGAACGCTTACAGATGGAGAAGTGCGTTCCGTTCTTGGAATGAAGACATGGATCTTGCGCGGCTGCAGTGCAAGGTGACGGAGTTTCAAGCTCGTCTTGCAAAGGCGGAAGGAAGATGGCAATCTTTAAAAAGTATGCTCGGCGCACTCGAAAGGGAAGTCCATCTTCAGTACATGGACCAGCTATCACGCAGCCTACAATCGACATTCGAATTCTTCCACGAAGAGATTCAGGAGTGCCAAGACACATTGTCACGGCTAGAAATGGAAGAAGGTAAGGATCAATGCTTCTGACGAGACATCAATACCTATGCGTAAGTTGTACTGATACGATCCGTAGCAAAGAAGCTGGTCATACCCGAGATGGGTATTCCAAGAACCCATTCCATGTCATCAGCTGTTGAGCCTGTGCCGGTCAATTCGGCTGGCCGGTCCCGAGTGAACCAAACACGCCCTCCCGCCCCCCGAAAGCTCCGCAAGAGCCCCCCGAGAACCCGATTCCAATATGGCGGAAGCAGAGCGAGACAAATGGCCGCCGATAAAGAACCTAGACTTTGGCGTATCCTCGGTCTTTCGCTGGTCACGTGGCTCGTAGTATTATCTCTTCCTTTCACAGTGCTTGCGACTTTCTTTTGCGAGGCCGCAGAAGGGGTCCCCATGTATGACAGCAACTTCTACTCGACATTGAGCCAGCAGCTCTTGGGGTTTGGCGGTCTCTATGCCATTGTAAAACCTCAGCTGGAGCAGTGGCTCGCTGCCTTCAAGCGATCCGACTACGGAGGAGACCCGCCCAAGGGCATAAAGACGAAGTGGCCCATCACGTTCAACTGTTTGGTCGGTATGGCCTTCCTCACTCTGTTGGCGAGCTCCCCCATCTATCCCTACCACCCGCAGTCTAGTATTCCGCTCGGGGCCATCGCGGCGATATGTGCTAACCTTGCAACCTTGCTCATCATCGAAGACACTGGGACTCAGATAGTGACACAAGGCGAGATGATCGAAGGACTAGAACACCAGCTAGATGACTACCGTAGACGGGATATGTAGCTGGGGTATATTCCGGTCCCTCATTTGGTCCACCAACGCCGGTCTCTGTGCCAATATTCATGTCTACCAGGTGGTTTTCCTCGAAGCAATTCAGTAATCAAAGATACCGTCAAAGTTTCTGGATGTTGTGAATTTGCACATACTTTAGACGCAATGTGTTTCCCGACCACAATAGCGAGTGCCCCTATGTTTCTCAAGCTGAAGTGCTCAGGTTATCGTAGCGAACTAACTACCTGTATGTAAATCGCCTACGTTACGAACATAGGCAGGAGAATGAAGCCCGCGCTTAGAAGGACAGGGATTCGAGGTTGTCCCAGGATGGGATTACTACTACCAATCAAGAAAAATAACAGACCAGACATAAGTAGGCTAGATCGAGGCTTGGAAGGCATTGCCCTGCTGCAAATGTAAGGAGAGTTGACCACTCCCTCGTAAAGTGAGCGTCGTGACGGGATGGATTCCTAACTTGACCGGACATTGGCCGTGGCCACCGGCGCTTCTGTTGGACCTGGTAATATACCTAGGGTAGCGATACATGATGTTTGCCGCGCGGCTATCCATAAGCTCATTTGAACTTATGTCCTCCAGAACTGTCATGGTTCAACGTCTTGACCTTCATCAAGAACAATGCTCTTTGATAGCATGGTGTCACAATGTGACATAAGGCGTTAGTTGTGTTACTGCGACTAACGGCGTCGTTTTTAGCGCGACACATGGATAGTAGCACCATGCTCATCTGCGATTTTTGCCGACAAAATGTTTTGGGATCAAGGAAGGTCTAGGACTATCATCATGTCAGCGCTGTCGCGTTCAAGGATGCTGCAGATTCAGGCTGCGTCATCTGCGAAATACTGGCTGCGTCTATTGGAGATGCTCAACCGTAGTGTTGATGGACCTAGCTTATAGACGTGGAACTATCTGTTTCCGTGGAGTTGTTTTACACGTAAAGACTGAAAAGGCCAAGAGCAATCATGTGCATCTACCAGGAACGTTACATCGTCATCACGGTGGGCAGATTCCTCTGGCTAACTCATGTTCCATCAGAACGGAAATGTTGAATAGCCCGCATACCGAAGAAGATACCATAGTCCCAGAGAAACTTCCGAATCCGAACATAGAAGAATGACGATGAATGAGCGGAGCATAATTAATCATCGGGTACGGAGTCAAAGAACTGCCGCAAAATACGACGCCGTCAATTACGGGCAGCAATTGACGCTTTATATGACATACCTCCTATATCGCTTCGTGACCAGAACGAAACAACCGCTCAGGGGAGGCCCCGCAAAGTCAGGAAGCACGAGCCGATTAGACACGGGAAGAACGGGCCATCTCCAGCCCTCAATTGACGTCTCCAGCGGCCCCGGGAAACGAGTCATGAACCCTTCTTGTGATCTCGATCCCCTTATCCACAGGCTGACAGCAGCGGAATAGCTTGGCGCTCCGATTGCGCTGATGATACCAAGATATGCTTTGCCTGTACCAAGACTTTCATGGAACTTCGCAGACACACGATGTTGCGGGATGGTGGTGATACGCTCTTGTCATTAAGCATCACGGTGAGACGGTTATCATTGTATCGCTGGCTACTTGGCATCATTGTTTTTTGTTGGCCAAAACAGAGCAACTGGATAGTAAACTGCCGAGTGTTCGCTTCACATAGAGTTACACAGAGAAGCTGTCCAAGTTCAAGTCACATCAAAGAGCCCAAGGGATCCCATGTTGCCATGTTGTCGTCTTGTAGTTAGCAGTGGAGCCGGAGGAGGGGTCAGTAAACATGAGAAGAAGATGTAGTAGAGGGGGCGAAAAGTAGGGTCAGGCTGCAGAAGCACTCTCTGCTCAGTGCTCACCATCGCAGGGGCGCTCCAGTCATGGGATCCTAGAAAGGAGGTGGATATACAGTATGTATATGATCAGCTGCCAGAAAGCATCTAGCTGAACCTTATCTTGAACATGAATCCTGCCATGTCGTAGGATTTTATTGTGACATGCCAGTAATGCGAGTCGAGTCTCGCGGGATTTGCCGACATTATCTTAGAAACGGTCCACCAGACTAGGGGCTTTGGGTGGTAAAGCCAAAGCCAAGTGTAACTGCATTTGGCGTGAGTCACATACACAGATGATGCTGATACTTGGGCCTGGTTAGTCTCTTTTTCTGAATTCCCTGCATAGACCGTTTTTAAGGAAGCGCCCTAAAATCCGGGGTCGAAGGATGTTTGTCTGGCTTGCCCTTGGGGCTATGGTCCCTGCGTTTCTTTCACACATGGTGTGTTTGGTCCTTCGGTAGATTTACTAGACTCTCTTGGGGGCAGCTCTATGATGCACGTGAGTCGATTTTGGGACCACCCATCCATATGCGGGCACAGGATAGAAGTTACGAAGAATGAACAGGGCGGGCAACGTCAGGGAGACGTCCCAGCAGTGTGAGGTGCTCAATGGATATGAAAACCCCAAAGCTTGTTTTGGAAAGAAGTGCCTCTCTTCTCATATTTCGCGTGATATGGGCCAATAGTAAGACTCAAGGTGTCCGTTGCCGGATTTCCAGGCCCAATTCATGGTTAAATTCCGTTGACGAGTTTGCAACCGAAAGACGAAGCACGCCAAGCCGCGGAGGTCGTCCGCTCGCGATGACGAGATATGGCCTGCCTCATTGACATCATAGTCTGGGATTATCGCAAGTGAGGCCATCTGCTTGCCGAGAGAGCAGGTGATATAACGACGGGCAAGCGAAACGCGGCATGGCAGGGTGTGCAAGCTTAGTCGCAGGGGTTGCTTCGACTGGCCAAGTGGTACGGTGATGGTGGCTCAACAGGAAACGTATGTGGGATCACGAGCTTGCGACAAGCACACGAGAAATGCCGCCATTCAGGCATTGGGTAAAGATGCCAAGCCCACGGTATGTTTGATGTGAGGCTGGCATATCTCTACCCGGCCTGGCTACCGCGCACATACTGGCCAAGGCCGGAACAGCTAGGAACCTTGCCGCGAACTCCGGTAAATGTAACCCTGAAGCTTTCCACGGAGAGGCAGTCGTAGTTTCTCTTGGCCCAAAGGCGCCTAGTGGCGCGTGCACATGACTCCGATTTGCGTACACTTGTGTATCCTAATGGGTTGGTGGAGAGAGCGTCTCTATGGTTCCGTTGTTGATGACCCCAGAACCTGAACGTGTGCCCATGCGAGTATGGTTGTGAAGAGCTTCTTCCCACTGTTGCCCACGTCGGTAATTTCAGTCAATCTCGCGGCGAGCAGGGAGGGACTGGTTTGGGGCCGGGTACCATATATAAGCGTTGCACCAATCATCTGGCAGGTAGGGGCATATTATTTTTAGGGTGATGCCCCCTGTCTCTCATGGTCAATACGCATGCGCATAATGCAATGCAGATCGAGATATAGAAGGGCGAAGTCCAGGAGGTCCGGGGGAGAGGGAAGAGGTTTGTGATATCTACCTCCTCCAACGTGTGTTCGTTCTGGTCAAGACACGACTCAGTCTCCCGCATAGGGAGCACGACTTTACCTAAAAAAGCGTGTGACTGCCACACTAGCTGCATGTCAATACCGGTATCATTCATGTTGTCTCTCCGCCAAATTCTCCGTAAGATTCTCGAAATCCCAAAGCCATCCCAACAAGTTCTAGGCAGTTGGGGAAAAGTTCATGTCTATTAGCCCTGTTTTGGGCAGTTTTTTTGCGTCCTTCGCTGAGCCCTGAGTGAGTCAGCACCACCCCAGTCACCCTATTGTGCTACGTATGCATATCTGTCCGACACTTTGTGGGTGAACTGACTGGCCCTTTCTCGGGTGTATGGACCGGGACAAGCTTAGCGGCTAGGGGAAGCAACCCGGGACTGGTTGATGAATGTGCCCGGTGGAGGAGGGTGGCTGTTTGATTATCTCGAGCGATTTCATACGGCAGATAAATCAGTGACCGGTTGTTGGTATATGTTTTTACACTGCTTCGCGTCTCAGGACGAGGTAATGCGAGTGCGGCAGCTGCAGCCGTGCCTGCAGGAATGTTTATTTGTTTCCTCTGATCTCCACAGAATAGACACTCGACTCAAGCCGATCCCGAGCAACATCTCGCCCAAGACACTTTGGACTGCCTGCTGCGCTGATCGCACCTCTAGGATTATAGTTGCAGCACAATACCTAGCCTGGGTAGGCTGTCCTACTGAGAAGCAGACCGACAGATCAGTCTGGCTGCGTCTCCTCCCGCCACGCTTGTCCAGAGATTTGCTCACACCCACTCCTCCATCCTTCAACTGCGCCCGGGTCTATCATATTGCTGTCACTTCCAAACCGGACGAGGCTTTCGGGAACTAGCCCGATGGACGGTGTCAAGGGACCACGACCCCCCCCCGTGAGTGTGCTATATGCCACCCGTTTTTTGCTTACCGGCCTGGCTGGGCGGGGTTGGCGCTGGCTTGGCCGAGCGCCATCCTCGGCTCGCTACATCGCACGACCATCCCGCCGGTGCACATGGGACCCAGTCTAAGTCTGAAGGTGGTGGACAATTCAGGAAGACACACGAATCGCGTTCGAGTCTCAGAGGCACCTCATAAGTGTACAACAGAGTGCAGACACAAGGGAAGCACAGGCGGTTTGTGCCCTCCATGCATGCACATCGAGACGACACGACATCAAGTCGTCTCGCTCACCGCGGCACCCGGGGCCTGCCCCCCATCGACTACTAGTACTCCGTATAGCTACATATATAGCTCAAGATTTCAAGACAGCCTTCGGATCCTCCTACCCCCTTGCTTGACATGGCGTCCGTGCGAAGGCATATGAAAACTTTAATTCCGTACAGGTCTCTTTAACCCTGCTCCCGCTAATGCGTGTGCCCACATACCGGTACCGGTATCGGTAGTAACTGCACCGCCGCCGTCTGTGACGTTTCAGGGGGGAAGCAGTGTTGCAAGCAAGGAATACCGCTGGGCTGGAGCCTAGGAAAGGCGGTACTAGCGTAGTTGTACCTAGTATAGGGTACGTGTAGCCTTCAGGATTCATAGTAAACTACTCCGTAGCTCGACACTTGTTGGTAGGGGTCACTTTTCCGTCTCCGTCTCTGCGTCCTTTTCGTTTGCCCCCCCTCCTAGTCAGCCTCTTTTGCCCTCTTTGGAACGCACAGGCTGGCGTCACCGCGGCCAATTAGTGAACATCCATCTGCCCACGCTAGCTCGGCCACTACTAGGTAGTAGCTTGCGGCTTTCGACACGGTAACCCCTCTCGCTGCAGAAGTTTGCAAGATAGCTATGAGAGGAGTTGAAGTTGGTGGATGAAGGGGTGAGCTGGTGCTACCATCCATACACATGTGAGGAAATAGTCTGCTTATGGCGTTGTGGTAGCCTTGCTTAGCGTACAAGTTCAATAGCATCTAAGCAACCGTATAGGCGCCTCTACGGTACATCATGTCGCAGCCATCGGGGGGGGGGGGGGGGGGGCTTTACCACTTCGCTTCTGCAGTCTCTTTCCGGCCGTCTTCTTAGTCTTCGTTCCAAGCAGTAAACGAGCGAGCAGAGCGGCGGCCCTGCCATGTGAGCCAGGCAGCGGCGAGGACGTTTTCTACGTTGCCTCATTCCCACCTCTGCTGCGCCATCCAGCCCATCCCTGCTCAATCTTCATCTGTACCTTGACCTTGCTGTGCTTGTCCTCAAACTGTTCGATGCGTTAGGACTTACGGACCAAGGGTGGCCTGACCTTTCCGTCCCCGCCCTCCTGTCCTTGATCCCTGGGCTTCGTCAGGTTCAACCTCTCAAAAGGGGGGTTGCAGGCTTGTAGCATTTGACTTGACCACTGCGCATGCATCCACAACTGAGCCAGGCCTCGGGTGATCCTTTTAATACCGTATATCACCGCTTCTTGGGCTAACATGGGTCATACCGTTGCCTCCGCCTGGCTGCCTCTTGCTCGATCCAATCTCATGCGCACTACCTGAAGCTTATCTTCACAGCCTAGGCCCTACAGGCCTTCTTGGTCTTCCGCCCAATATCCATAACATAACATCACTTCTACCCCTCTGCATCCTTAACTCCTTCGGCATTTACCTCCATCTATCTATACTGATCAACACGCCGTCCACCGACTATTGTCGTCCCGCTTCCGAAGCTCTCTACTGCGGGCTTTTTTCGGACCGCACCACTGATCATCTCGTAGTACCCCGTGCAAGAGGTAGTAATATTGCTGGCAGCAACGGCAGCAGCAACAGCAGCGCGATTACGAACAGAAACGGTCTCCCGCCATTACAGGAGTAATAAAACAGAGGACGAGAATCTTATACACGTCGCTCGGCGGCAGAATCATCAAGTACTACCGGTCTGTCTTCGGCCTTACCCGCCAAGATTTCTTGTACGAGTCCCGGTCGTGTTAAAGGACTTCCGCTGTTTGGAACACGTCGAATGGGCAACCCCACCTGAGTCTGATTCACAATGGTGAGTGCAGCGGCTTTCTCATCATCGCCTATCTCCGTTGCGGCATGCTGCATAGGGGTTAGGAAAGTTTCTTGAGACTCTAACGTCACCTTCGTCGACATTGTCGCCCTCTCTTTTCTGCTCGACCTTGTTTGTTCTTCCCTTCCAATTGTATTGCTGCTGGTGCTGCTGCTACTACTACTACTACTACTACTATTATTACTCTTACTAGTACACTTGCTCTACCTCTGGGCGCGATGAAGTGCCTTGCCCTGGACACACGCTGACCGCCCCCCCCCAGCCTGTCGCAAAGGCGTGCGCGCCGTGCTACTACCAGAAATCGAAATGCACCTTCACGGAAGGCAATCCACAATGCGATCGCTGCATGATGAACGGTCGGGACTGCGTCTTCGTGCGCCCAGTGCCTCGGTCTGCGGTCAAGGGACGATCAAAGATCGCTATGCGGAGCAAGAACATGGGCGGCAACACAAAGTGTTCATACCCGATCCCTCGTAAGGCCGACGTTGCGGCCCCGGATACAACGGCGGACACGAGTCCCGCGCCGAGCTCGGCATCACGGGAGACAAGCATAACAACCCCCGCGAGAACTGGCAGCCCGCCCGACGACGTCTCCTCGGATTCATCGACCGAATCGGCATCGAGTCCGCCGTCCATGATCCTAGAGTCGCTTAGCCCCTATGGAAGCACACTGGGCCGGCTGAACACGGTGGAGCGCAGATCGCTGTCCAGGCTGCTGCACAAGTCAAACTTTATGGAGTACTTCATCAGTCCGACGTTTGTCGACAACATGCAGCTCGACATGACGGTCCACCTGTTCAGCATGTTCGACCAGTGCAAGGACGCCTACATCGCCATGTACAGCGCGTTCGCGGCGTCAATGGGCTTAGAGACGGGCGAGTACGACCCGGAAGCGAACCTCCACCGCGGCGCGATAGCGGTCGAGCAGCTGCGGTCATGTAGGCTGCCCACGTTGAAGCGCGAAGAGCTACTGCCCTGGGCAGGGCTCGGGCTGGGAATCGTATACTTCTCCAACATGGCCCTCGGCACGAGCGCCGCCCCCGTGCGCCGGTACATCCTGAGTCACGTCCGGCACCTTCTCGGAACGGCGCAAATCTCCAACACGCGGACGCACTACATCCTGGTGTACCTGACGGCCGTTGACATCAACGAGTGCCTGATGCTGCGCGAGCTGCCGGTGTGCGGCATCACGCCCCCGGAAGACGGCCACGTCGACGCGTACCTGGGCGTGTGCATGCCGCTTCTACAGTACCTCTACGAGCTGTGTCGCATCAGCTACCACCTCCACTACGAAGTTGCAGTCGAGGAGCAGACGCAGGCGCTGGCCAAGCTGGAAGAGGAGATCGAGGCATGGCAACCCACCACCCCACCAGACTTCACCAAGCGCTTCACCACCAGCGAGGTAATCCACATGCTGGCCCAGAGCCGGATCTACAAAACGGCTGCGATGCTCTTCATCCACAGGCTGCGCTACAAGTTCGGCGAAAAGGACGAAATAGCGTCCGCCATGTCCAAGAGCATCATCTCGGATCTCAACATGACGCTGGCGGTCTCCAAAGAGGCGCAGCGCTGCGTCAGCTTCCCCTACATGCTGGCCGCTGTCGAGGCCAGGGACGCAGCCGAGAGGGAATTCGCGCTGGAAGCCATGTCATCGCTCATGGATTCTTCCAATTTCCGCTACAAGACCAACATGACGATTTTCCTCAAGGCGCTTTGGGACATGAAAGATGCGAATCCTGGAATGTCCTGGCTCGACATGGCGCCACACCTGCCCCCCATTTCGGTGGGCCTCTAGGCGGAGCGGCACCTCCTACTTTTCTCGTATTACGATATTCTTGGCCCTTTTCCCTCCCTTGGTGGATCCTCGAGCAAGACTATCCCGTTCGAATCAAGTAACGCGATACGGGAAGGAAACATCTTGCTTCTTCACACACTGGGTGATGGTTTTGGCGATACAAAGCAAACAACCCGTGCTTTGGTGTCTCGTCCTCGTGTGTGTATGTCTGCTTGGAGCTGCCCCATCACAAGGTTGTGGACTATTCCACTGCATCAAAATGAAGACGGTGCCTGCTCAAAGCTGGATAGCATGGCAAGGATTTTGGAGCATCGTTCACAAAAAGGGATCGGAAAAGCATGTGCTGGGAGACCTCCGAAAGGGGTAGCCGGAGGTACCGGAAATGTACGGTCACGATGTTGATCCAAGGAGTGATACCATTCTACTCTTATGCTACTAACAAAGACCACTCAATACTTGACCCTCCCTTGATGCATAATTTGGCATTTTCGTCTGGCCGCTTCTGAGTCTAGCTCCCGCTTCCCCACGCTGGTTATACCCCAGCAGTGGCAACTGGGTTTCGCGCCAGCCGCTCCCCGAAGTTGCCGAGACTCATGCCCAGTCGGGGCTAATGCGCCGTCAAAAGGCTTATTGGCCCCTGTTGTAATCTCACCGGGCATCACCTTCATCTGCTGGCTTCGCAAGCAAAATGCACAATGGAAACTTCAGACTTCTGTGAGGTCCCGTCCCGCATTGGGTGGCGCCGTATGGCACGTGCTGATTATTGGAGGTTTGCTGGTTGCGTCTCGCCATGCCTGAGCCAATGTCCCTTTGGAGGTGCCATCGACTAACCGGTCGAGGGTATATTTGCCCAAAGGAATGGTGCCCCGAGTATCTGGAAAGTTTCCGAGTCCGGTGGAAAGAGGCTGGTGGAATGGTGAGATACATTCATTCGCCCTCTGCGTATGAACGATTCAGACCCGGGGTTCTCGTCCTGCAGAACGTGTCTGGTCCCCGATCCCCGAACTCGGAGTTGCCTTTGCTCGAGTAATGCACACATGCAGCTCGGGTCACAATCGAGTCCGTCAGACGATGAGCGGCCCCCATCATCGATCGAAGCCCAGGAGTTAGGGCGTCCCATCGCGATCACTATAGCGGTATGGATACGTATGTACTACATAGTGCGTCTGTATGTAGCAACAAACTACCGGATGTTTCCGTCAGTCGAGCCCGTTCCATAGTGGCGCTTTGGCTGTTCCTTCCATGAAGAAACATTCGTAGCATCGGGGCACCGTCAGGACATGTTTGTTTGCGGCTTTTCGGCTGGTGTTCCCGATGTAGAAGCATATCTACCTTGCAAAGCCCGCTTCGCTGTACTGCAGTCGTGCCAAGGGCTTATGCTTACAGTCCCGTCGCATGGGGATGGCTGGCACAAGTATTCCGGCATGGCGTCATGGCCATGTTTGAATCATAAACTACAGTAGTGGATATTCCGGGATTCGGCAAGGCCTTGGTCCCGCTGAGCACGGGAACCCAGAAACATCAGATGTGTAGGGAACGCGGGGAGGTGACGTTTGGCGGACTCGGGCTTTCACGAGTTGATAACTCGACCGCCCACCCGCTGGACGACGGGGAGAAACGAAAGCGATCAGCAAGATGGCCTCTTCCGTGTTTCTAATACGCGCCCCAGCCCTGAATTGGTACCATACCCGTGCACTATGCCTTGTACCCGAGTCAGAGGGGACGCGCTAGGCCGATCCCTCTGCGGGTTCGGAAATTATCATGGCGCCGAGGCCGAGTGTGCTCCTAGCCATCGTCACCCCCGTTTGGCTCCATGTTTGCCAGTCTTTAGATCCCCGCCTGGATCTTTCGCGTTGGTCATCAGCCAGGGAAGTGTTTGCGATTGAAAGTCTTGCACCATGTCCGATGCATCGTCGCCCCAAGTGGTCGACGCCGACGTCGTGAGCGCGACCTTGGCTTCCCCCCCGGTAACCCGGCGATCCTCCACCCCACAAGCAGTTGGCGCATCGCCCTCGGGCCCGTCACTGCCTCCGACGGCCGTAAGCGGCCACGCCAGCCTCTCGGGAGTCCGGTCAAAGATGCGGGGCGGGGCCGAAAGCGATGTCGGAACGGGGAACGGCGCCGCCGGACGCAGGATTGAGCGGTCCTGTCAGCTCTGCCACCGGCGTAAGGTCCGCTGCGACAAGAAGCAGCCCTGCGCATCGTGCGCCCGCGGCGGGTTTCAATGTCATTATCCGCCCGTGGGACAGCCGGTCCGCCGTGTCCGCAAGACCACCATCGCCGACGTGGCGAGCCGGATCTCGGATCTAGAGAAGACGCTTGCCACCGGAACGGCCCAGCGGCCCTCGGCCACCTTTCAGTCGCCGCAGGTCACGCCGACATCCACCTCGAATTTCATATCCGGTCACTCCGTGGCCGGAAGCCCTGGACCACCGACAGCGCCGCCTTCGGGGCCCCCCGTGAAGGTTGTGGGTGATGAGATTCTGGTGCGGAAAGGGACTTCGAGCCAGTATTTCGACGAGTTCCTCATTTCTCGGGTTATAGAAGCGGTGAGCATCGCTATGACACAACCCCGCCCCCCAGCCTTTTCAGTATTCGATCGTGTGTGCTCATCATGGTAGTACAGGAACATGATTTACAGTCCGTCCTGACCACACCCGTGAGCGAGCCGGCCCCCAAGGCGGCCCCCTCGCCCTTCAACCCGATGGGCATCCTCTCGGCCCCGGACCTCAAACTGGATCTTGCCGACCTCCTGCCCCCCAAGTCCGGCTCCATCGAGCTATGGAGAAACTACGTCGATAACGGTGACCACTGCAACAAGGTCCTGCACCGGCCGACTGCGGAGGTTCTCATCTACACGGCCATCGATGACCCGCACAGCGCACCTCTGGACTCGATGGCCTTCATGTTTGCCATCTTCTTTACGTCCGCCGTCATCCTCGAGTCAAGCATGGTCCAGAGACTCACAGGGGAGGACAAGGTCACCTGTCTTCATCACTTCAAGACAGGACTCGAGCAAGCCTTCGCCAAGGCCGACTTCCTCGAGCATCCGTCAGTAAGGCTTCTTCAAGCTCTTGCCATCTACATGGTAAGTCCAGCAACCGAACACTCTGCCCGGCTTGTTCCTCTCCGGCGTGTAATCCGTATTGACTCTTCTTCTCAGGCCGGCTTGAGGTTACACAACCCCGGCCGGGGGTTGTGGACTTTGAACGGGCTGGCGATCCGAGCTGCGCAGTCCATCGGCCTGCACAGAGACGGCACCAGGCTCGGTCTCGGTCCGTTCGAGTCCGAGATCCGGAGGCGACTATGGTGGCATCTCCTCGGACGAGACGGCAGAGCAGGCGAGGATTACGGCATCCAGAACCCGAGCAGCTTCAGCCTGCACGCCGGCGTGAACTACCCGTTGAACCTGGAAGATAGCGACCTGTACCCTGAGATGAAGGAGCTCCCGCCGCCGAGGCGCGGATGGACTCAGCTCACCTTGAGTCTGATCAACATCCAATGCTCGCGGGTATGGCACCACCTCGCGGCACTGGCCGCGTCGTGGGACGAGAGGCCGACTCCCGAGTCTGTCCGCGAGCAGACGGTCCGAGAGCTGCACGAGTACGCCGAGGGGTTCCTCCAACAGTGCAACCCGGTGATGCCTCAGCAGCGCCAGACGATCCTCGTCGCCCGCCTCGTCATCCGCAAGGTCGACCTCGTCACGCGGCAGCAGTGGCTCCACCTCGAGCACCCGGAGGCGCGCGAGTCGTTCGCGACGGAGGAGAACCTGGTCGAGGCGCTGGAAATCATCGAGTCGTGGATGAGCTTCGCCTCGGACGAGCTCCTGCAGTCCTACCGATGGTCGTTGGGGGCGTTTCCGCAGTACCACATGCTGCTGTACCTGCTGTGGCACATGTGCGTGAAGCCCGAGGGGCCCAGCGTCGAAAGGGCGTGGAGGGCGATCAACGAGAGCTTGGCAGTTATCAGGAGCGTGGGTGCGGGGTCCGTGGGCGCGGGGTTCACCCCGGCGGCGAAGATGACGATTCTCGATGCTTTGCGTGTCAAGGCGCTGGCGATACGCCAGGGGCTTGCTCAGCAGAGCGGCGGTGGCGGCGGTAGCGAAGGTGAACAGGAAAGCGGCGGTGGTAGCGGCAGCGTGGAAGTGGACGGCTCCGCGGCCAGGGAGGGTTCTCTTACGCCCGGGGGCACCGAAGAGACGGTAGAGGCTGGGAAACCTGACGAGGCCATGGATGGAATAGACTGGAGCACTGCGGGACATGATCTCCCAGACTGGAGCACGTTGATGAACGAGTTCCAGGTGGACGTGCTAGACTTTCCGAACTTCTTCAACGTTGGTTGATAGCTACCGGAGGGTGCGGGAGAATAGACAAAAAGGGTAGATACCACTCCATTTTTAAGGACATATAATGACGGAGGAATAAAAATTGTTAAATTAATCGAAGCCTTTCCTAGCCCCCCTCATGGCTGGCCAAACTTGGATCAAAATGGGTGTTTACGGAGTCACTCCAGTCAAGTCATCGCGTTCCCGCAGTCATCCCGATCTAGCCTCTGCAACACCAGACTGACAGAGAGGTTCAAGGCATGCGAAAGTAAGAGCTCTGACATCTACAGCGCCGATGGTTTAGTGGTAAAATTCTCCGTTGCCATCCAGCAGCGTCGGGGAGCCGGGGGTTCGATTCCCCCTCGGCGCATGTCACTTTTGTTTTTGGACTTGATCCCGAATTCTCTCTTCTTCTTTAATAATATATTTATTTTCTTTTGATACCTTTCGTGACGTAAAAAGAAGTGTCCTTATAATTCGACAATCGCATTCCATTACACTTAATAATCTGTAAATCAGAAAACACCGCGTTTGTTGTATAAAACAGCCGCCTTGGGTAGAAACCGAAGCATGCGAACCCGCCCGCTTATAGTCATCAAAGCCTCCCCATGCCAGCCGGTCATGCCAGCCGTCTCCGAGTCAAACTTGTCGTAAAGTACGACGTGGCACTTCCGTCGGGACGTCTTACGGCATATTGCTTTCTCACCGCAAGCTCACATCCTCCCAACCTCCACCGAGCTCGCCCCCGTTGTCCTCGTGGATAGTCTGCAAGCGCTGCAGGGCCTCGGATCTTCCGACCGGGCCAGAGTCGACGACCTTGTCGGCCTTTACCTGCGGGAGGCTAGCGGGCGGCGCAGAGTTGTCGAGTCCGCCATCACCGTTGCCGTCGTCGGGGCCGGAGCCGGGGCTTCTGCCGCGCGCCCCAGACGACGGCGACAACAAGCCGCCGGAAGACGCCTGGGCCCTCGCGCGCTGCATCTCCTCGGGCGAGGGCAGCTTGGTGTACCACGTGGTCGGCGGCAGCGACCGCTGCTGCTCAGGCCCCGCGGCCGAGCCGTCGGCGCCGCGGTCCATCGGGCTGCGGTTCTCGGAAACCTCCGGACGGTCGTCGCGGGCACGGGACTTGGACCGGCCCCTGTGCTCGAACGGGTTGACGAAGACGCCGAGCCTCGCCCGCCGCCTCCCCTCGTCGAGAGAGACCTCGCCCCCGCTCTCCAGGTCGACGCTTCCGTCGCCGCCGCCGCCGCCGCAGCACAGTTTCCTTCCCCTACCCCGGGCCCTCATGCCCATCACCCCGAGCCACTCGCAGGCCCGGAAGCCGAACCGGGCCGCCAGCCAGGGCGGCAAGACGAAGGGCCACAGCGCGACGATGGCGGGGAACCACAGCGCGAGCAGGACCCTCTCCTTGGGCCCGCGCGCCGAGCCGGCGTACCACGCCGGCAGGGCCAAGAGGCCTCCCATGTTGACGACTGTGTACGTGACGAGGCCGAGAAAGGCGTAGCCGCAGCCGCCGTAGAGCAGGCCGCCGAAGGAGGCGGTGTCGATGGGGGCCATCCTCCTCGTTGTAAATGGTCCGTTAGAAAGTTTTGCGTAGGGAAAAGAGAGAGAGAAAAAAAAAGGATGTGTTTGCTCTCGCTTGCCCGTGTCTTGCTTTGTCTTTTGTCGTTGGTAGGCTACACCGAAGCACTCGTTTATATGAGAGACGAGTAAGTCGTTCGGCAGCGTAGAGTCGTAGGCAGAGCTGGAGTATTGCGGATGAAGATGATGTCCTTTGGCTTTGAGAATCAGGCACAGGGTAAAAAAGAGAAGAAACAGTGTGTGAGTGGATGGTATCTCCGTTTTGATCAAAAGTCTTCAGCTCCAGGCACGCATCTGCGTACCTCTTGAGCTAAACGCCTGATAAGGTTCACGCTTCCACAGGAAGACAGAACCAATAAGTCTATGGGGGTTAGCTGACCCGAGACCAATTTCCCAAATTCACCTTGGGTGATTTGTTGTTTTGCTTTTACAACTCGGCTAGTTGAGTAAGAAATCGCTGGCAAGATTTTCCACCTCTCGCCCCGAGGAAGTTTGGGAGTGCGGTGCGAGATTTCGGACAAGAACCTCGGCGAACCGGACGGTCTTTCGTAATTAAGGTATTATACAGTACTAGTACAGGATATTCAGGCGACGATAATGATCGCAAAGATCCTTTTCCCCCCTCAACTCCGTAAGTCGAAAGCATACGGTGGCGTATTCACACCGCTGCTCCCAGGCGTAGAACAAAATATGTGCAAGAATCGAATAATGTGCCTCACGCCAAACCTTCCTTCCAAAAAGGAAAAGAAGAAAAAACCATCAAGAGACCGGACGACACGTCCCCTCTCATCCCTTTTCCTCACCACACCTTAATCGACATCCGCCAGGCTGGTGTCTGATGCATCGTCGGAATCACCTTGGCCCTCCTTCCATGAAGCCATCTCCGCGACAGGGACTCGTCCCCTGAGCCACCGTAGAGTTGCCTCGGTGCCACGCTCAAGCACATTGTACCTCGGGACTCTGAACCGGTTGCCGGAGACCTCAAGGCGCTTCAGTCCTCCGCTACCGCCGAGCAGACCCAGCTTGGGGTTCAGGTGCGCGATGTCATTGTTGCCAGCATCGACAACCTCCATGCCCTGGATGGTGTCGGGGTCAAGGTCGATCAGATGGTTGTTTGCGGCCAGCAAAACCACAAGACGGGGGAAAATGACGCGCAAGTTGGGTGGCAAGGCCGTGATGCGGTTGAGCGAGACGTCCATCTTCTCAAGCTGGGGGGCATGCAGGTGAGTAGTCAAGGGTGAGAGGCTGGTGATGTGATTGCTGACGAGATTCAACTCGCGCAGCACAGGGAGGTCGAGTTCCTCCGTCAGGTAGGATTCACCAACCAGCTGGTTATGGGCGAGTGAGAGAGCGGCAAGAGAATCCGCGAAGAAGGACAGCGAGTTCGGAAAACAGGTGAAGAGGTTGTGGTGCAGCTGGATCTCGATAACCTTGTTGTCGGCAGCCACTCTGGAACAGACGACTGGGTGCAAGGACGAAGACTTGGTTTTGGATCGGTCCAAAAGGCCCTGTTTGACGGGCCAGGTTTCGTTGGCCAAAGTCTGCGAGCGCGCACGTGCGGGGCTAGTGGGCGACGAGGAGGGTGGCGTGGCAAAGCTGTCCTCATCCGACTGGACTATATCACGGGCCGTCGTCTCGGTCGGGGCGGGTTTCACGGCTGGGTGGATTTCGTGGGGTTCCGCGAGCGTATTGCTTGGTGCGTCGTCAGGGATAATCACAGCATCGACCTCCTGGAACGGCTCGGGTGGCTCGAGCCTGGCGGCCAACACCTCCTTCAATTCCTCCGTGGTGGCGGAGATGAACTTCTTGTCGCGAAGGGGGTTGCCCGCTAGCCGGATGAGGGTCAGGCTGTCCATCCTGCTAATTTCCGGTGGGACGACACGAATGTCATTGGCAGAGAAGTCGGCGTGTCTGAGTTTCGTAAGGCCGGGGAAGCCAAGGGGAAACTCGGGAATGGCATTCTCGTCGGCGGCCAACGTCATGAGACTGGTCCATGAGGTGACGTCAGGCAGCTCTTGCAGACGGTTCATGGACAGGACGAGCTGGTGAACCGAGGGGAGGCCAATGGTGGACCCTGAAGGCACCAAGCGAGTCAACTGGTTGCAGGAGATATCCAGCATCTGAAGGTTCGGCAGGGTCTCGACTCCATCTTGGATCAAAGTGCCCGTCAACTTGTTCTTCTTCATCATGAGCTCAGTTAGCGGAAGCTTGGCAAGGCTTGTGAAAGGCAGAGCCTCAAAGCTATTCTCACTAAGATTGAGAATACGCAGCCTCGACAGGTTCTCGATGACGGGAGGGAGCGAAGAGACCTTGTTCCCGTGAAGGTCGAAAATTTCTAGGGTTTCCAAGTTTGCAAAGATGGGATCCAGAGGGCCGTAAAGGAGGTTGTTGGCGAGCTTCAAGTCGCGGAGGGCTTTGACCTGAGTGATGACTTCGAGGCAATTGTTGGCCAGGCGGTTTTGGGACTGCAGAGGTTAGTCAAGCCAGATAGGGTGGGGAGACACGACGAAAGGGTCCTTACCAGGTTCAAGGATGTAAGCAGAGGAAGCTGTCTCAATCCCATTGGCAGCGAGATCAAGGCATTGCCATGCAAATCCATCGCCTCGAGGCCGCCAAAGATGTTGCCATTCGAGTCCTCGTCCTGGGCCATTTCCTCTGCCGTGACGTCTGGGAAGATGGCATCGTCGATAGTCTCCAACTCATTGTCGGCAGCCACGAATCTAGTCAAGTCGACCGTCTCGGCCCATGAGCCGTCGTAAGTACCCATGGACTCCATGTCGTACATCTTGAGGACTTCAACGGGGATCTCCTTCAAGCCCATAGCTGCGATGTTGAGCCGGCCACTGTTTCGCGCGGCGGCGAGTCGCTGTTGAACGACCTTTTGTTGCGAGACATCCGATCTCTTGGTATTGAAGGGGTCACTGGTGTTGAAAGTGTCGGTCGTAACAGCAATGCCAAAGTTGAACCCACTGTCGTCCGGGATGATGGGAGGGTCCGTCTGATTCGAGGGAGCCTCTGGGGTTGGCTCCGGGGCCGGGGCGGATGCTGCCTCGGCAGCTTGACGTTCTGCGGCGCGCTTAGCTGCCCTCGCCTTGGCGATTTGTTCCCGCAGAGCGCTGGAAGACTTCCTAGCAGCGGACTCCTCGTCGGCTTCAGTCGAAGCCGCAGGAGCTGGGCTGCCAATCTTTGAAGGGGCGGGCTTCCTCAGAGACCCGTACGACTTGGCGGGTGTCAGCTTGCGAGGAGGCGAAGGGCCTGCTGCTGCCGGGGATGCTCGGCTCATTGATGGCAGGGATGGCTTCTTGTAGAGACCGGTGGCCGAGGCACGAGTTTTGAGAGAAGGGGAAGCGATCGCCGTTGCGCCAGTCTTGGAGGGTGGCATGATGCCGGTTGGCCTTGTCGGGCTGGGGGTCTGGGCGAGCGGGAGCCCAGATGATGATGGCTGGGGTGTAGCTTTAATAGCGGGTGGGCGGAGAGCGCGGATGCTGGACACACGACGAGAAGGGGTGCGTTCAACCGAGGCCGGCGGGAGTCGGGGAGAAGTGGCGACCTGTTGGATATTGGCAAAGGGGTTCTCGTCAGCGGCGGAAGACGAGCCGGGCCTGCTATGACGCGAGGTCGGGCGGACGGAAGCGTCCGAGGCGTAGCTCGAGCCGGGCCTCGAGTGGCCACTGCCGGCGCGTGAACGAGGTCGCACGGTGCCTTCGGGGTCGAAAAAGGTCGACGTCTTCTTGCTCAGGGTAGGCGAAGACTGTAGCTGTTGTAGGGTTTCTATCGTTCGCTCGGAGAGGGAGGGTCGGGGCTTCAGGGACTTGGCCTTGGGGGTGTCAAAGCCCGGGAGGTCGGGGGACGCGGCATCATGGGTGGCGGCCGGTGGGCTTGTTGCACTGGGCAGAGGAGGCAAGTCTGGCACTGCTGGCTCGAACTCGGGAGTCAGGGAGTGAAGTGCGGACGATCGGCGCGAGAGGCTGGCGGAGCGTGAAAGAGCTGGCGTTTCGGGCTCTTCTGGGGGGGTGGGAGGCTTATTGAACAAAGGTTCCTTTTGCTTCAGTCTGGGTACGCTGCGGGAGGTTCTGAGGGCGGCTGGCGGGGCTCTCAATTCCGACTTTCTCGAAGAGGGCGGTTGGATCTCTCGGGTAGGCGGTTTCGAAGCTATACGGGATGATACGGGCTGCTTGGGGGCGACGGCGGGACCCAATTGCTCACGGGAGGCAGCTGGACGAAGTCGGGGATTCCTCAGGCTCGAGTTCAGGCTCTCTCGCGAAGGAGAAGGTCGGACAGTAGCAGGCGTGGACGTGGGCGTAGGTGCGGGTGCTGGCTTGGGAAGAGGCAGACGCGACAAGCGAGGGATACCGCTGGACCTCGCGGGAGCCTGTTTTCCATCCATTGCGACGAGCACGAGCGGCAATCTAGAGCTCCGGGAGCATTCGAGGTGGCGGAGGTCGAAGTGGTGAGCAGGAGCAGGAGTCGAGAGAGTTGAGAGCCGGAAGAAACGCGGTCTCTTTCTTTCCCCTCCCTTTCTCTTGGAAAAATCAGTGTCCAAGATCGGCACGGATTGGGAGCGGCGTTTTAGCGTTTGCGTGGCTATGGGCGGGAGGCATCCGCAGGCCGGGAGCTAGTGAAAGAAAGGGAAACAGAGGCAAATTAAGATGGGATGGTGGGGGGCAAGGTTAGGTATTATTAAACCGCCCAGGCTGGTAGGGAGCAGTTTTTTTTTTTAAGTTTTTTTTTCTCGCGTCGCAAACGGAAGGGCTGTCCACGAGGCCGGATCGATGGAATGACGGGCTAACTGTGAGCGAGAGGATGGTGGACGTCATCCGATGAAGTCGTAGATCGAACGCAGTTCAGGATCCCGGAAGCTGGCGGTCGAGTCAGCTTGCTTTCGGCCAACTTTTGCCAGAAAGGGAGGGAAAGACAGAGAGGAAGCAGAGGGAGATGAAGAAGAAGAAGAAGAAGAGGAAGAAGAAAAAAACAGCAAAGCTTACTGAGTTGTCGGGTTTCCAATGAGCAAGCAGCCCAGCGGATCCATCTATTCGTATCTACTACTACGTAGTTTATTGTGGTGTATTGAATTGTACACGTTCGAATGATGTACAGTGAACGATCAAGGAGCGCGACGTTTGGGAAATATTGGTTGGACCCTCCCGGTTAGCGAGGTGGAGGTACAGATACATGAGCGAGGTGCAATGTACCCAAACTGGGGACTACCTACCTAGGTAGGTAGGTGGTGGGTACAGCACACAGGCGGCAAGCGACAGGGAACGCATGCTCGCAATTTCCTAACCAGCAGGAACAAGGCGCTAGCTACTGCGGTTGGCTGGCACGAGTGACAGACCCTGTCCGGGTGTATGTGGAGCTTCTTCAATTATGTCAGCAATATATCGTGGTTGCTGTACCGTACTTGGAGATTTACGTGTTGGGCAGCTTAGCAAGGTACGGACGGGTAGGTACGGTACCTGGGCACTTGCCGAGCTCATATCCCCCTCGACCAATGGGCGGAGCTATGTCCCCTGTTAAACTCTCGCTTAACCGAATCAGGTAAGGTGTATTCTGTGCCGCCCCTGCTGTACAGGCACTTCCCTAGCTAGGTAGGTAGGTATGCATCGTACCTACCTCTAGGTACGGATACATAAATCCGCGGGCGATATACAATGTACTACGTAGTACGAGGTGCGAGTTCTATACACTACAGTACCCTATCTACCTGCTATAGCAATGCTACCCTTTGATGTCTCTCCTCTCCACGCGAAATGCTACCAAGGATGCAACCAGAGAGTTTGTTTGTTTCACGATAACTCTGTGTTGCTGCTGCTGCTGCTGCTTCCCAACGCCAGGATGGGATCGCCGAGATGGGGAGCTTTGGGTGTAGTGTAATGCCGTGCCGGCGTCTCAACGAAACGAGCATCAACTAGCTCGGATATCCGCCTTGCTTCCTCTCTTCCATGTGCACTGACACTATCTTCTCCCCCTTTTTTTTTTATTCTTTTTTTATTCTTTCTTTTCTTTTTTATCGGTGGGCTTGTTGGTTTACTGCTTTTTTCTTGTGCTTCGTGCGCTTGTCCTTACGCACCCCTTGCTATTAATCGTCGCCGTTATCGTGAGGGAAGCTCGGTCTGTTTCAATAAAGTAACTGGTCAGCACCTTGATCTTATAGGATTCGCCATCATCATCATCAATGCTTGTCTCGAAACTTCCAAACTCCATCAGAAGCCCTAGAGGTAGTATACCCCCCCAAAGGACGATCCCAACCCCGGGGAAGCAGGGTCCCCTTCGAGAGTCGTTCCGTCCACCTGGGCCCAGAGAAGACAGGGGCCGGCTCTCCAACGCATGGGATGTTGGCAGCATCTGCATCCATCGTCGACTCTGTACCAGGCAGCTCAATGTTGTCTGCCCCGCCAGATACCCTCAACAACAAGCGCCGGGGTACAACATGGGAGATGCGCCAACTGACTACACGAACAAGATGAAATGTACTCACCAACTCACTTCTTCGCCTTCTTCTTCCTCTTCTTCTCTCCCCCCTCTCTCTCTGCCCCTCTCGCATTGTTCGCTCTCGCGTTGTTGGCTCACGCTTCTCACTAGACCCCGGCCGCCTCTTCCCCTTAGGCGACGTAGCCCGGGTCTTTCTTGAGGAGGTGCATCATTCTCGGCTGAGCAGCAAGCATCCACTCGTGCAAGCCCATGCCGCGAGCCTTCTTCTTGCGCCAGTGGCAACGGTTGCAGCAGCGAGCTCTGTCCCGCGCGCTCAGCGGAGCGCGTTCGTAGCAGGGTTCCCACAGCCAGTACTCACAGCTGTTGCACCACACTGCGTTATCTTGCGCCGGCTTTGGGTTTCCGCTTCGCTCGTACGTGAAGTGCCTCGGCGACGGCTGCAGAAGGCCCTGCGGCCAGTCGTGGCGCAGGACCAGGTTGTCCTGGATGCGGAAGCCGGGGGGGTACAGCGGCTGTTGGACGACGATCCCGGCGGGGGGGGCGGGGGCAGCATGAGCTTGAGGAGCAATCGGGCCAACAGCATTGCCGGGGGCAACGGGAGCAATAAAGCCAGGTAAAGCTGGGGCCGCGGCGGCCGGTCCGAAGGCGGAAGGGTGGTAACCACCGGGAGGCGGACCAACGTTGGGCATGAAGCCGGGATGTGGGCCAACACCTGGAGGCGGACTGGCAGCGGGCACAAAGCCGGGATGCTGGCTAAAGCCGAGAGCCACGCCGGGGCCGGCCACATCCATCTCAGCCATGGGAGCCAGGCCAACAGCCGGGAACGCACTCGAGCCAGCAGTAGGTGCGGGAAGAAAACCGTTGAGAGCGTCATGGCCCCATTGGCTCTCGAGTATTTGTCGAAAATCTTCTTCCGAGAAACTGTGGACTGTGCCATCGCCCATATGTCTACCTCTGTGTTAGTCACACGCTCCCCGCGTCCTATTGCTGTAACTCACAAGCCCGCCCCGGTATATTGACCTGCGCCCCCCTCTGCCCCATCGCGGCCTCCGTTCGAGTACGCTGGGAGGGAGGGCGCCGGGGTTGGATGAGCTGGGGCCGGTGTCGGGTCAAACTCGGCTTCGGAGCCAGGAGGCGCTGGGTAGGAATAGCCCGCGTCCATCTATATAGGTTCAGTCTTTGTCCATCAACATGTGTACTTGGGGAAGTGGAGGCCTACATTTGCTGTCGCTCGCTTTCTTGGTGAGAGAAAAGGAGCCGGGGAATAAAGGAAAGCTATGTCGCTGCTTGCTCAGTCGGTGCAAGGAAAGGAAGAAAGGGGTGGGAGATTTCAGGAAGATGATGCCGTTCTTTGCTTTGCCGTTGCTTTCTCTGTCGTTGCTATGTCGGTACAAGGGAAAAAAAGAGGAAAGGAATAGCAAATTCCAGGAAGATTCTGCCTTTCTTTGCTTTGTCGAGACTGAAGAAGAAGAACAAGGGAATCCAGTAAGATTTTTAGCCTCACCTTGAGTTTCTAATTCTTCACCCGCCAGCCAGGCCAGATACGCAAGGGCTTCAGTCCTCTTTGCCCTTGCGCCTTGCTGGCCCGCTTGTGCATCGTCCTCCAGCCACGCAACTAGAAACCTGCATCCGTTGTGTGTCAAGAGGCATGGACTTGGCAAAAGGAAGAACGTTGTGTTTGAATCCCGACGAACATGGGAACGCACAGCGTCATGGGTAGCGCAGACTACATTGTTTATATGACCTCGTTCACCGTATAGAGATAGTACTTCTACAACTTTCTACTTGGTCCCATTACTAACTATTGCCCTTCGAGTAGCGACTATTGATTGTTCTTGAGCTGCACATGAATTACTTTGTACGTTTGTCACTTTGGTACCTATCTAGGGTAGAGTCAAGAATACAGTAATTACATCGCCAGAAACCTAGGCCTCACTTCATCCCGGAGATGGGAAGTCTTTGAATACGTTAAGCTGAACTTCTATTTCGGCCTAAAACGTTTCCCTCAACCAAGTGCTTATTATCTCGTGGGTTTCCGAATAATTACCACATTCTATTGCTTCACTTGCTACCAAATGTACTGCCATTATCTTTTATAGGGACATTGAGATCACTCTTTCAGAAACATTCAAGTCATAACAATACGTCATCATGGATTTACACCTCAGGGGCTCGGGCGTACAGGCGGGACACACTCAGTTCGTGAGGTTCCAGCGCGAGGTCTCAGTCGTCAACACCTTGGCTGCCAACATGCTGTTGGGCATGGACTGCATCACCGAGTTCGAAGACGTATTCTGCGACACGGGATTCGCCTAGGCACCGGAGGACGAACGGATGAAGGCCTGGTTCAAGCCAGGATGACAGGACAACTTACCCAAGAAGTGCAAAATATACCTAATTGGGCCAGCAGGACGCAAAGTGGTCAGCAAGACAATAGGGGCATTAATTAAGGACGACAAGGCTTACCCTACGCGCAACATAGTCCCTACGGCATCTCCAGTCTTTGCTGTAGCCAAAGACCGCACACACGAGATTGATGACAAGAACAGCCGTATGGTAGTGGACGTACGACCTGTGAACACATGGGTATTGACAGACATGTACCCGATGAAGACCATGCCCGAGATGATGGGCAAGGCTGCCGACGCTACACACATAACCATGTTTGACGCCATGGCCTTTTACTGACAATGAAAAGTACACCCTCTGTCGCAATGGCTGTCGTCACAACTGACAGGCAGTACACCTTCCAAGTGCCCCTTATGGGCTACGAGAACTCCAACGCCTATGCCCAACTTCCTTAGACATCGATGGAGGGGAGCCTAGTAGTAAGCACAAAGAAACCGAGTTCCATAAGAATGGTACCTGGCGAAAATATCCTACGCCGGGACTTCAAAACTCGACGCCTAGCCGATGGATCTAGAAAGGCCAAGGTCTTGTCTTACCAAATGGTCAACTCTTGAATATGTGCTGCTTCGTCCCAACGAGTATGGTCACTTGGGTATACGGGGTGACACCTTCATCTGGATTCTCCATAGTTTACCGTATTAGGCTGTACGTCTGCGCGCACCGCAACAAGTCCTCTTCACCGCACACCGTGGCACGGCAGTTGGATCATGGACCCAAAAGTGCTAATTATAGCTAACCTTGATTGAAAGTAGCCTGCTCTCCAACGATGAACCAAAGCTGTGCTTCTAATCCGACTATATCACCCGATTTTTCGATGTTGCGTGGTGCGCTGGGGCGGGTTGTGCTCGTGGAACCCTCATTGCTCTGCTCAGACCTATGACAGCAAGATCCAGTGGCGTTGGGCTTCGAATTAGCTCAGTCTCGGAACGAACATGTCAACATTAACTTCCCCCGTGAGTCGGACGCCAGCGCTTAAGTTGCGGCTGGGCCCGTTCACGATGTCTTGCATAACCCTCGACAAGGGGGCCTTTCCTGGGGCGCACGAGCGCGACGTTGAGAATAACGTCGCTCGAGTATGGGAAAGAGTGCCGCCACATCCTTAACCAGACCCGGCGATGGCGCCTCCTGAGAATACGGGGGGACTGCGATGCTGCTTCAGGGCCGGTCTAGGCCACTACGATGGCGAGTCACGCAAAGCGGCCTGGCCGAGGTCATGGGTTATCGTCTGAAACTTGCCCATTCCCGCCACCCAAGGAGCACAAGTACAAGTCACGGCGAACGAGGCATAGTGATAGTGGCGGACTGAGACGAGTGAAGTTGCTATAGCCAAATATCGAACTGAAAAGGGGGGGTATCTCTAACGACTAGGTCGAAGCCCTATCTGGTTACATTTACCTTAGATTGCTTTCATTCTTTCCACTAGTGTGCAGTCCAAAAACTCCGTCGCAATTCCCGTCAGAACAAGGGAGGGGAGGAAACAAGTGTGAAAAATAATGATCCAAAATGATCAAAAAAGAGAGAAAAGGTAAAAGAAAAAAGGAGAGAAAAGAAATAAACATGTAAGCATAAAGAGACTCTCAAGTCAGCATCAAACGTTGATGCACGTGACAGCAAGCCGAGCTTCCGGACTCGGATGTCTTGCTAAATCACGCAACGTTGGCATGTGGCAAGGCGAGGGCCTCGCGTAAAGACTGCCAGTAATATGGAGCAGCCCATGATTAGGAACGAGGCTTGGTTGCGGTTCAGCTCTCTCTGTCTCACAGGGATACCCCCCGGCGAGATAGTCTACGTGGCAGTCGAGACCGTCTACCCATGCGCGTAAACTCCCAGGCCGCCCCGCATGACGACGCCGAAGACACATGTGGCCGAGGAGGGGGGCCACTGGAAGAATCGTACGATTTGAGGTTGGGTGGTGCTGGGCCGCATCGGTAGGCAATTCGTGACCGACTGGAAGAGGACTGGATAATAAAACGCCGCAGGCAGGGTATTATGGAAATCAGGCTGCAACTGATCTTTCGAAGGGGGGAATATGGTCTCGAGAAAGTGCCCGAGAGTTGGTCGCGGGATTCGTTAACGACCTCGGTTTGGCGTTGATGCGGACCATAGAGCGACAGGACCGCGGAGGCGCAAAGTCGGCATGTGTATCCGACAGTCTTACTCGCTCAAGAATCTTTCCACCAACAGGTATCGTCGGGGATCTATAACCGAGGTTAGCCAGCTGCGGGACGAGACGATGCACGGCACATCTCGAGAAGAAGATGGGTTGCCCTACGTCTAGATAACACGGGACGAGCCGTGGAGTGCAGCCCTCGTTCTGTGCCTCCGACCTCCTCAGTCGGGAGAGGTTAATTCGATCTTAGTTGAGGGAGGCTGTCGGACTTGGGTGTGAGGGTATTCCCCACACCGTCGGAGCTGGTTCCGGCCGCTGGCGGCTCGCTGCGGGACGGCGTGAGGAGGCTGGCAGGGCTGCCGTAAGGGATCTGGGCAGCGGCCATGAGGCGCTTGGTGTGCTCGTACATGGAGAGCGTGTATGTGTCCATGTTGCCGGCGAAGGAAGTGTTGGAGTTGGTCAAGTTGGACGAGCTGGTGTTGTTGGAAGTCGGTCTGGGGCGTTGCGTAGACATCATGATGGGTACCTTTTTTTCTCTCTTTCTTTTCCCTTTCCGTCGTTGATAGTTGGCTGAGGCAGAGTATATGGTTTTCCAAGGCGTCCCGAATCGATGGGCATCACATCGGCCCTTGTAGGTATTTATATTGCCGATCCTCGATCCCCTTTCCCGCCAACCCTGTGTGCTCCATGTTCCTAGCAAGGGCACGACCAACAATCACCCCATTCCCGCGTTGAAACCTTGACCAACTTTCCCTGGCCAGGAACGCCGGCGAAAAAAAAACCTGATCCGACGCTGGAGGAGCGTCTGCAGCGCCGCAGCGACCCCATGCATGTTCCCTGTCTAGTGTCACGCGCGGACGGCTTTCGGGGGTCAGCACAACCCCCCCTTTTCCCAGGATTTGTCGCTGCGGTTCCCGCGGACTCGTCTCTCTTGTGCCGTTTAGGACGGCCTTGTCCAGCACCGGCAATGGTTGTCAGGGTCCAATGCATGCCCCGTTGGCCGCTGAAGGATTACCTTCTTTGCGGCTGGGTTCGTCCAGTCTGCTCAATGGCCAGTCCCGAAGCCTGCAAATCGGATACACCCCCCCCCCCCCCCCCCCTGCCCGGCTGTTTGCGGTCAGTCATCACAGAGTTGAGCATCATCAACCACGCAATGAGAATGGGTCTCCCCTCCAGCAACCAGCACGCACTCACGGAGCCTCTGCGGTCCTCTACGGCGAGTCGGTCAAGTGCCACCTGGACATCCCGAACAACAACGGGCGGGGGTCCCTAGCAGGCATTGGGCTGCTAAGGCCTATAGGGCAGACTATATCATCGTCATCGTCACGTCACCTAATCTCTAAATATATTTCGAGTATCGGGGATGCTCAGTACCATACCGCAGCCCCTTGGTTTTAAGTGCGTACGTGCTTTATTCAACATGGGTTCTCAACAGACCACAACAGACTCTACCGGAAGCCCGTCCGTTGCGAGCAACATGCATGTGGTGGTAGGCGTCTAATCCATCGAGTTGGCTGAGCCGACGCCGCCCAGAAGGAAGACCGTATCCGACGCTTGTATGGAAAGGCCCCGGCCAGATCAGATCTTCTACACAAACAGATGCAGGTATGTCGACCCCTGTTTCCTTCACCCGTGAGCTAAGGGCCCAAGCTGCGCTAACCAATACACCTGTCATCTTCCTGCAGCGCAAGTATTTCGACTCTGGCGACTACGCACTGCAAGACGCCCACAAACCATGCAGCATGGGATCGGTCCAGACAGGCGCGGAGCACCCGCTCTGTAAAAACATACCTCACCCCTCTGCGCCTGTACCAACATCGAGCGAATATTGTGGACATCGCGGCCGACAGGCATCGAGATCCGACTAAGGAGACGGACACCAGCGGGTCGAGTATACATCGACCAACCCCCCTGCGCGAGATGTTGGAAGAAGATCCGTCCAAGATAGATTGAGAAGGGCGGCAAGGTCCAGGGCACGCGTTTTGCTGGTGAGTCCGAGTTGTTTTCACACTCATCAGGTTTCCCCCCTGTTTCTCTTTCCTGCCGGTCTGCTGCTCTGCTGCTAGGTTCTTGACCCCTTTTTCTCGCCAAGGGTGCCTAGTCTTTGATCGGGCTTCCACCAGGGGCCTGCGGCGGCTGCGACGGGTAGGTAGGTAGTTTAGACAGCAGTGAACTCTGCGTCATTGTGGTGCAGGGCAATAGGTGCCGTACACGAACCACCGTCTGCAACTTGATTTAACCAAGTGATAACGCGGACCGCTTACTAGCAATTTGACAACCCGAGGCTACTGTCTCTTTGTTTCGATAGTCGTAACTGTTTTCTGCACTTTTGAAAAGGGGGGAGGATTCCTGTAACAGAGGAGTGCCTCGGAGGGTATTATGTAGTTTGTTCTTAGGGGTCCCGGGGTCTTGCAATGAATTCACAATGTTGATTCTCGCCAAGACGGGGAGTATAAACGGATCTGCCCGTTCATAGTTTACAGTAAAACCTGCCTAGCTGCTAAGCTGCTAGTTTGTTCGGATCAGCATCTCTCCCTATGCTGAAGCCCCGGTACACTAAGCAAATATGCTTGCTGGTCACGGTATCCAAAGGTCGGGCATAATCAAAGGCCAAGACAACTGTCGAGTGCGGGAAAAACAGGTTTGAGCCATCTGACGGGCAGAGCATAGCCACTGAACCGAGGACCGTGACCCAGTCTTTAGGCTAGCACAACCGAAAAGACGATCCCCCAGTTATCGCTGGTAGACGATCGCGGCGTCGACTACGCGCAACTGCCGCCAACCACTACGACTCGCCGGTCGGGTGTCCTCTGGCTCTGAAACTTGCCTGCAAACTCATTCTCGACAAAGGTTGTCATGGTGAATGAGAAAATAAAAATAAAACAAGTCTCGAATTAACTACATAGTCGAAAGTGCTCTAATAGTCACCGGAAAATCAAACCTTGGCTTCCACAAAACTATAGGGAATGGCTTTTTGGATCTCGTACTTCAGTAATCATACGAGATGCCGATTTCCAACATAGTGAGAGAGTTGTCTCTGCCCTACACCAAGACGACATTCGCAGTTTGGTGGCAATGAAGAGACTCCGAGCTTTTCAAACAGCACATTTTAACCTCGTCCTTCGCCTATAAGATAACATATCATCCGCCACGGCTGTCTTCTGCCATACAACAACTCCGCAAGGGCCAGGAACTGTGTATGCTACGCCATTGAAGGGCTGTAGCCGTATCTCCAAATGTTGGTGGAGGAGCCCATGGGTCACGTGACCCACCTCCACCTCCTTCTCGGCCAGCCTCTGCCCACTACGGGCAGCCCACTCCTGGTTAGTTTCTGTCACAGGACAATAGGTAATCGCCCTAAAGTCCCAGGTGGACCTAGCAGGTTAGAGGAATATTGTTCCTAATATAGTTCAGTAAGCGTTTTACCTAGCAGGGCCAAATAAACGTGACATTAAAAAGATACTAACCCCCTAGTAAAAGGCTAGTAATAGCTAGGTTAAGAATTAGCTTCTAAATAATATAGGACCTATATTTTAATTATTACTTCTTTTTACTAGTGCTATTATAATTCTAATTTTCTTTATTTATTTTTTATCTTATATAATAAAAGCTATTAAGTTAATACTATATATACCTAGAAATAGTAGTAATAGCTAGGCGTAGAGTAGCCTAAGCGCTATATAAGGCTTAATCCTTTAAGTTATCCTTAAGTATATTTAGGTACTTAAAGGTAGATTAAAGTAGTAACTATAAAAAATTTAAAAGTTTTATAACTAGAAAAATTAATTACCTAAGTAATAAAAGGCTAGTAATACTTTAATACTTTAGAGTTAGGTAGTAAAAAAAATATACCTTTAAGAAAATAAGTAAATTAAAGTTAAGGTTTAGCTTATAATATAAAGATATAGATTAATAATTTATATATATTTATTACTAGTGTACTTTAAAAGTTTAAAAAACTAAAAAAAAGAATTATTTTAGTAAAAAATAATATAAATAATAAATACTAGGTAAAATAAAACTAATATATTAACTTTTTAAAGAAAGAAAATAAAAAAAAAGCTAAAGACTTTAATTATTTTTTAAAATAAACTAAAACCTTTTTTAAGAACACTATTTATTAAAAGCTAAATATTATATACTTTATAGTTATAGTAAAATAAAAAAAGGCTAAGATCTTAAGTAATTTTATATATATTTTAACTTTCTTAAAAAAGAATTTAATAAAAGACTAAAAAAAGAATAAGCT